TTCAGTTCAGCCGCTGCCCTTGCAGGAATGAAAAGATTGATAGGTGAGGCCAAACCCGGCCAAGGAGGGTGAGGGAGAATGGAAAAGAAGGAAGAAACAAATGTATACCTGTGAAAGGAAATAACTCATGATAAACACCGTAGCATATAAAATAGTGTTGACACGGCTTTTCTGGAGGAAGGCCAGCCCTATGCTGGTGCTCTGTAGCTGCGAAAAATTAGACTGTTTCAGGCTGTAGACCAAAGTGAACAAGGTGTAGATTAATGGATTAAAGGAAGCCATTTGATGGAGTATAAGTGAACCTGCTTTAATCAGGCCAGCATATAATTCAGAAATCATTTCAATGAGACAGAGTAAGAAAAATGGCATTGAGAAAGAGTTGCTTGACCCTTTACAGACAAAGAGAAAGCCGTGCTCACAAAGACAAAGCCTTGGTAGAAACACATTTGGAATTCTGCATCCACGTTTGGGTTACCAAAACAATATAAAAAAGATGTTGAGACCCTGGAAAGAGTGCAGAGAAGAGCAACAAAGATTATTAAGGGGTTGGAGGCTAAAACTGACGAAGAACAGTTTTAGGAATTGGGTATGTCTAGTCTAGTGAAAAGAAGGATTGGGGTGACATGATAGCAGTGTTCCAACATTTGAGGGGCTACCACAAAGAAGAGGAGGTCAACCTATTCTCCAAAGCACCCAAAGGCAGGACAAGAAGCAACTTGTCCTGCCTTTGGGTGGAAACTAATCAAGGAGAGAAGCAACCTGGAATTAAGGAGAAACTTCCTAACTGTGAAAACAATTGATCAGTGGAACGACTTGCCTTCAGAATTTGTGGGTTCTCCATCACTGGTGGCTTTTAAGAAGAGACTGGACAGCCACTTGCTTGGGATGGTACAGGGTCTCCTGTTTGAGCAGATGGTTGGATTAGAAGACCTCCACATTCCCTTCCAACTCTGTTATTCTATGTTCTATGATAAAACCTGGTGGTAGGCTTGCTTTATATTATATAATGCCAAACGCAGCAGGTTGGAAATGTAGTAAGATAAACCAAATGTAAATCAACCTTAGTTCCAATAATTGTTATCCACAATGCTTATGCTCTGTCTCTTCTTAAATAAGAAAGACAGCTAGGAAAATCTCATGTGCTCCACCAACTTTCATTTAAAGCTTTTGCCTCTTCTTGAAGACCAATCTTGAGTAGGTCTTCCTTATATGATCAGCTTCCTCTTTTAATTATGTTTCCACCCATTCATTTTCCCCCTCTCTCTTCTGCAGGGCTACCTAAATTAACATTCTTTGGCTGTCCTTCTGGTCCTACTATTGAAAGTTTGGCCTTGGGTGACACCAGAACTCAGAAAGGTTAACTAATGTTGCAAATATTTCTTATGAAGTCCTCTTGGTGAGAGCATTGCTGTCTGAGTGCTCCATGAGATCCAATTCACACTGACTTCTCCAGGTCACCAGACAAGTTACGGTCAAGAGGGCGAGCAGTTGAGTCATAGGCAAGAAGTTCTCAGAAGGTGCTCTAAGGCCAGCTGTAAAGAGCAGTGGGGGTTAGCACAAGTGTATAAAATAATGGGTTTTAGAAGTGTATGCTAATAAGTATTACTCTCTTGAGAGGATGGGAAGGTTGTCTGAAGTGGTTAAAGAACCTTGGAGATCTTATCTTGCAGATCAGGATCCTTCATCAATTCGTGGGCTCCTGAAGGTCAGGCAAGAAGCAACAGTTGGAAACTAATCAAGGAGAGAACCAACCTAGAACTAAGGAGAAATTTCCTGACCGTGAGAACAATTATCCAGTGGAATGACTTGCCTCCAGAAGTTGTGGCTGCTCCATCACTGGTGGCTTTTAAGAAGAGATTGGACAACCAATCTGTCTGGAATGATATAGGGTCTCCTGTTTGACCAAGGGGTTGGACTAGACGACCTCCAAGATCTAACTCTGTTATTCTGTTATTTTAATTTCAAGTCTTCCTCCATATGTTCTCAAGCCTTCATGTCCTAGTGGTGCTGTGTCCTTTCTCTTTCTGTCTCTCTTTCAGAGAACAAGAGTGGTTCATTAGACTCATAAATCCTAGGAGAAAGGAAGCCTCTTTGAGAGCTGTGAAGCACAAACACACAGCAGTGGGAGCACCTGCAAATTAGCCAGCTGTGCTTTTCCAGGCAGTTTTGTTGAAGGAGAGAATTATAAAGAGCAATGAGTGTATATCAAGTGGAAGTCGGGTCATAAAGCAATGCTTCGCTGACTTGGGTTTTCTTACAAGGATGGTTTCAGGTCGAAAAACTCAAGTAAAAATCCTCCAAAGCTTCTATGGAGGTGAGAGAGGCCACTGCTGGACCTCTGGTGCCGTCCAGCAAGATTCTGCCCATGTCCTTATCTCTTTCAAGGAGAAAATAACAGCTTCTTTTCTACAGATGTTTCAAGCAATGGAGGACTGACAGTTTAACCCTTCCTTCCTTCCTTCCTTCCTTCCTTCCTTCCTTCCTTCCTTCCTTCCTTCCTTCCTCTTCCCTCCCTCTCCTTCCTTCCTTCCTTCCTTCCTTCCTTCCTTCCTTCCTTCCTTCCTTCCCTCCCTCCCTCCCTCCCTCCCTCCCTCTCTCCCTCCACAGATCCTTTGGATATGTTCCCCAGGGCCCAGCCCAGTGATGGGCTGGGCCCTTAAATACTTCTTGATTATTATGGATGCTCTGACAAAAGTCAAAGTGGCCGGCAAACTCCATTTGGTGAATAAATGGAAACCATTGCCAGAGTTAATTATATTATATTAGGAGAAAAATTCAGCTGCTGCTAATCAACCTTATAATGCCCTATCTGGGAAAAAAAAAATATTTCCATCTACTTTTATCATTCCATTTACAATCCAGGGCTTAGTATCATAAAAAAATGCTTTAACAAAGTCTTATGTCTTATTTTATTTTTATTTTTTTTTTAAAAAAGAGCAGAGCTCGCTTCACCAAATGGGTTTATAGCTCTCTGGATTTCCCTAGGGGAAAATTTCTTGCTGGCTAGACACAGCACCTTAAACAGTCTGCCAACTTTTTAAGAGTTCTTTTTTTGGCTTCCCCCCCCCTTTCCTAGCAGCAGCCAGGGTTCCAGATCAGGCCTCGTGAGGAACAAAGTGTAAAATTAATCAATGGATTGATATACTGTTTAGAATAAAAACATCCTAAATCCTGGCTCCTTCCAGCCAAATGAATGTGAGAGCCTGGTTGAAATGTAATTTAGTTTGTTCCTTAGCTGCCTGTTGATTTCCTCCCCCCCCCTTCTCTCTTTTTCTAATTTGTTTTTTTCTCTTTGCCTCATATTAAGTCTCCTTCTGTCTGGTGTGGCTTAACCCTTGAAGGTCAAGGGAGGACCAGAAGCTGGCCTTCATGGGCATAGAGTTAAATAATTTCTTCTGTTGGAATTAGAAAGAACGTTGACCTATACACAGAGCAATTACCTGAAAGAGGTCAATGGCAGCTCTCAAAACAGATCTGGCTTTTGAAGTTATTTTGGATAACAGAATAACAAGAGTTGGAAGGGACCTTGGAGGTCTCCTAGTCAAACCCCTTGCTCAAGCAGGAGACCCTATGCAATTTGAGACAAGTGGCTGTCCAGTCTCTTCTTAAAAACTTCCAGTGTTGGAGCACCCACAGCTTCTGGAGGCAAGCCGTTCCACTGGTTGATTGTTCTTACTGTCAGGAAATTTCTCCTTAGTTCTAGGCTGCTTCTCTCCTTGATCAGTTTCCATCCGTTGCTTCTTCTCCTGCCTTCTGATGGTTGGAGGGCTTTGAGGGACTGGATGTCAGACTTTGCTTCTCTGAGACATGGGCAGGAGAAGAGAAAGATGGACATGTTTATGGAGATTCTCAGTCATCCAGGTGATGATTGAGCCAGAGGTGCTTTTTCAAAGGGCAACTGGACTTTGTTTCAAGAAGGATGGACAGTCTTCTCTCTTTTGCAAGACAGATGGTCCAGTGGACACACCATGTCTAATCATCCTTAGATATCCTGGGCTAAAATGTGTAGCCTTTTTAGTTCTACTGGCTGAGCTCTTTCTCTTAAAACTGCAGAATTCTGCAGCGTGGAAAGGAACGCCTTGACTAAGAAAGGTAGTTATGGGAAGTAGATTTTTCTGGGCCTAACTGACCTGTGAACATACATCTTCTAGCATCCAACATCTCAATTATTGTCACCAAATATGTAAAAATCCGTGCATAGGGCAGCTACGGTGGTACCTCTTCAGCTGTAGTCCATTAGGAAATCATATTTTAATTCCTGTTTAATTACAATTCAATTACACTCATTCATTACTAGTAATCCTAAGTGGGGCAAAAAAAAAAGGGCTACATTGAAAATTAATGAAAATGCTAGCAAGGTTCATTTGGAAATCACACAATAATTCCAATTTAATTATATTGCAATTACCTCCACTTATTGTAAAGAGAGGTATATGAATAATCTAGGTCGCTCTTCGGGAAATGCTGAATATTGCCCTTTTTTAAACGAAAGACTGCTGAACTCAGCTAATTGTGGCCTTGAGGCAAATGGAGTCGCCTAAAAGCCTGAAAAACATCACAACCACCATCCCTGCATCAAGCTGGATAGATGGGTAGAAGGATAGATGGGTGGATGGGAGGAGAGATAGATTTGATATATTGTGGACTTTCCATCTGAACATTCAGAGGAGTTGCTTTGAACCTGATAACCTGATTCTACACCATTAAGGTTGCAACTCAGCAAAGGGAGTAGTAATTAACTCAAAAATCACAGGACATGTCTTCTGGACACACAATTCTGTCCACGTATAACCCCTATGAACCTATAGTGGACTTCAGTCTTGGGTTTCTGAACAATTCGTCTTTAGTTCTAAGTTGCTTCTCTCCTTGATTCTTAGGGATCCTTACGGAATTCTTAGGGAATTCATAGGGATCAGGTTGGTAATTCCTGTACATGCTTCAGGGAAGAGGTAATCAAGCTGTGTATCTTGCCTTTTCTGGATTATCTTTCCTTCAGTATCCATAATGGAAGAACAAAGTCTTCTACAGGGTTGCTTCTGGGCTGAGATGCATTCGCTCAGATGTTCAGCTCGTTCCTCATTCTGGCTTCAGAAGATCAGCCCTAGAACAGCTGTCCTGTACACAAAAGAAAGAGTAAGCATTCTAGCTTCATCTTGCTTCATTTTTTTTACTTCCAACATTAGATCACCACACATCACTGAGCTGCACATTCAGGCATTTTCAAAAGAGGCTTATTATTTTGAACAGTGCAGGTGTATGGGGAAAAAGAGCTCCTAATTGCTGCTTTATGATAAGACTTGCCATGCTTAATTCTTTGATGCTCTATAGAAAGAATGTTCTGTCTCGTACTGTGATTATTACCAGGCCTGCTCTCTGCCTCGCTCAGTGCTGGATATTAATTAATTAAAGGTCTCTTCACCTCTCAAGAAACTCGAATTCCCATGAATTCCGATGATGGCTGATTTCTTTCAGAAGGAAGGCATCTCGTGGGATTTGCCATTAATATTAATCACCAGTGACTCATACATTCATAACCAGTTGTAAAGAAAACGCGCTTTGCCATAGCAACCTAAGGAGCGTGCTAACTTAACTTTTCTCATTTCAGCAGGAATGCCAAGCATTGGCGCAACAACAAAATGAGTGAAGGTAGGACCACATTGGAAGTCTTCTAGTCCAGCCCCTTCATCAAGCAGGAGACCCTATACTGTTCCAAACAAGTGACTGTCCAGATTCTTCTTTAAAAAACTTCCAGTGTTGGAACACCCACCAACTTCTGGAGGCAAGCCCTTCCACTGGTTAATTGTTCTCACTTCAGGAAATTTCTCCTTAGTTCTAGGTTGCTTCTCTCCTTGATTAGTTTCCATCCGTTGCTTCTTGTCCTGCCTTTGGGTGCTTTGGAGAATAGGTTGAACCCCCTCTTCTTTGTGGCAGCCCCTCAAATCTTTGAACACTGCGACCATGTCACTCCTCGTCTTTCTTTTCACTCAAATGGATTTACCCAATTCCTGCAACCGTTCCTTGTATGTTTTAGCTCCCAGGCCCCTCATCGTCTTTGTTGCTCTTTTCTGCACTCTTTCCAGAATCTCAACATCTTTTTTACAATATGGTGGCCCAAACTGGATGCAGATGCATTATTCTGTCTTTCTTTGCTTCCTCTCTGGGCATGATCTGGATTTTTTTCCAGGCTGAGCCAATAGCCCTAGTTGAAGGAGCTGTACCCACAAAAAAAAAAAAAAAAAATCACGTCTACATTTTTCTTAATGGCTGCTGCATATTCCCTGCATAACAACACAACCGAGAATGCTTTCCGGAGAGAAAAGCAATTTTAGAGGTAATTGGGCTGGCGGTTTCCCATGCCTTCAGTGATACTAATTTAATATGTAACAGGAACTTAAAAACTAATCAATAATGCAACAGAGCTCTCAATCAGCTGAGATACTGTTTGGCTTCACTGGAAAAAAAAATGTAAGTGGTTCATCTCTGATGACAGCCTTATATTTATTTTAAAGCATGGCTGAAACATTATCTGTGGCTGTATTGTCACTATCAATGGTTTTGGGATAAAAATAACAACTCAGGCCAGCAGTTGGGGAGAGAAAGGAGTGGAAGTCTGGTCTGGAAAACCTATTCATATTTCATTACAAGCTACAAGAGCTGGCAGGGCATTGAGTAGCCTTAGAGAATACTAGCTTAAGCGGGTGGGCTTTTGGTTCAATGCTGTCTACTCGAAGAACCACCAGAGGTGGTTTAAGCAAGGGGTAGCAAGACTGAGAAGAAAACTGGAAGGGGGGCCTGAGAGAATTGGAGACAATCATTTTGATAAAAGGAGACTGATCAGGGGTATGATTGGACTTTTATGGTAACTGAAGGCATATCTAGAAGAGAAGCAAAAGTTTTGGTCACCACGATATAAAAAAGATGCTGAGATTCTGGAAAGAGTGCAGAGAAGAGCAAAAAAATGAATAGGGGGCCGGAGGCTAAAACATACGAAGAATGGATATATCTAATCTAGTGAAAAAAAGGACGAGAGGTGACATGCTAGCAGTGTTCCAATATTTGAGGGTCTACTACAAAGAAGAGGGGGGTCAACCTATTCTCCAAAGCATCTGAAGGCAGGACAAGAAGCAACGGATGGAAACTAATCAAGGAGAGAAGCAACCTAGAACTAAGGAGAAATTTCCTGATAGAATAATTAACCAGTGGAATGGTTTGCCCTCAGAGGTTGTGGGTGCTCCATCACTGGAGATTTTTAAGAAGAGACTGGACAGCCATTTGAACCGCTTCAGCAGTTCTCCTAGATCAATGTTCTCAACCTTGGCAACTTGAAGATGCGTGGACTTCAACTCCCCCAAAACCCCATATTGGCTGGGGAATTCTGGGAGGTGAAGTTCACGTGTCTTCAAGGTGTCAAGATTGAGAACCACTATGCTAGAGGATAAACCCTGGAGTAATGGTTTCAGAAAGACAGATTCAAACTGAATAGCAAAACTAATGTCCAAATGGAAATCACATGTCAATAATCCTCTGGTGAGGGCTACAACAGGGGTTCATATAGGGTAGCAAGAGAAACTAGCAATGGGCACTGATTCTTGGCTTGTTTTCTCTGAAACTATAAGCCAGAGAGCCATAAAGCAAGGTGATTTGAAGGAGCGCCCAACCTGGGTTTAAAGAGCGTCATGTAAAACAAACCTCCCAGTGATTGGAGTGTCAAATTAGTATCAAACTATTTTAAGAAGTCTGCTTACATAGGCTCAGGATATCTTCAGCACGTTAAGAGCTTCTCTCCCTCACCTGCTCTCTGCTCTCTACAATATGAACATGGGTTATGTTGCAGCTTCAGCTGCTTTGCATCATCCTACTGTCTTCTGGATTTCTCTACTCAACCACGAGATGACTTTGGATCAATTACTCTCAGCCCAATTTATCTCAGGGGCAGATAAAATTGGGGGGGGGAAGTCATCCTTCCCTTGATTTGTGTTATTGAACAAGAGGTTGGGGATTGCAATAAGCAACTGTAACAGAAGCATAGTTCCCCACCACCCAGGTTGGGCAGCTTTTGTTTGCTGTGATACATCTCCACTGGGAATTCTATCTTGTCTCCTTCTTAAAAAACTGAAATCAGCAGCTCTTGTTGGTTCTTAGCTTCCCATTTCTCGTTTGCAGAGGACAGAGAAGCCAAGTGTCCTGGTTTATGCAGCAAGATAAACAAACCACAGATGGTGTTCCGAGATTGTTTTGATGTTTTGGGCAGGGAAAGACCATTTTTAGAATTCTGGCTTGCTGTGAAACGAGAAGGTGACATCTAGCTCCTTTCGAGAGAATGCAAGAGGCCAATGGCCTGCTTTAATAGTCACTCCCGAGCTAAAGCCAATCTTTCTTCATATGAAATTCTTGCAGGTTTATGAGAAGTAAGTATAAGGGGATGCCACAAAGAAGAGCCAAGCTATTCTCCCGAAGGCAGAACAAGAAGCAAAGGATGGAAACGAATCAAGGAGAGAAGCAACCTAGAACTAAGGAGACACTTCCTGACAGTGAGAACAATTAACCAATGGAACAGCTTGCCTTCAGAAACTGTGGGTGCCCCATCACTGGAGGCGTTGATGAAGAAGAGATTGGACAACCATTTGTCTGAAATGGTATGGATTCTCCTGCTCAAGCAGGGGGTTGGACTAGATGACCTCCAAGGTCCCTTCCAACTCTGTTATTCCATGTTCTATGGTTTTTCTGGGCTAACCTCAAACTTGCAAGTGTAAAGGTACAAAATTCCCAGCACTACTTCTGAGCATCTGATCGATTAGGGTGAGTCCTCCCTAAATTTCTGCTCCTGACCATTAAGTCACTGAGAAGTCCTGCCTCTCCTCTCTGATTGTTTCCTAGGTACCATCTTTTCCTCTCATCCCTCAAGGTTCATTCACATGTTCCATTACACTACCCTACATTCCTAGGGTTTCCTGATGTTTTCTGTCCAAATACTAACCAGTTCTGATGCTGCTGCTTTCTTTTGGTAGGAATCCTTGGAATAGTTTTGTTGATGCCTTCACCACATTAGAGGACCCCATAATGGCATTAGACCCATGTCCCCCCCCCAAAAAAAACAACAACAAAATATCAGGTGTTAAATCCGTTTCCCAAAAGACTTCAAGTTTTGCTTCATCGAGCACAATATCACAGACCTAAACATGAGAGTATAAATAAGTTTAAATTCGCTTTAATTAAAATATGACCAATTTTGCTAGTTTATATTACTCAAATGATGGCTGCAAATATGGTATAATATACAGACCGGGCAAAAGAAAGAAGAGGCCAACGGCAGACATTGCAAAACAAAAAACAAAAAACTGTAAGATAATTCTTTCAATGAAGTATCTCTTTAGAAGATAAGTCAAATACTTTACTTTATCTCTGCTTAGCAGTGAGATTCCTTAATGAGGCTTAGTTACACTTCAGCCTAATTTTTCCTTCCTTACCAGACTTAACAGCACGGCTGTAAATGAAAGGCTATTTCCATCTCCTCCACTTCTTCACAAACTGATTTGGAACACGGTGGACATTTTAATTTGTTTAATTGACGGCGAGTCTTAAAGCTGGTTTCTGCTGTTTGGCATTCATTTTATGCAGGATTCATTCTTGGGAGAAGAATGAAGCTCTTTCTCCATCCTAAGATAGGAGATCACGGGAAAGAGAGGGAAAACATCTCTGTAAAACCTTAGATAACCTCTTCCAATTGATCCAGAGATAAAGAGATCAGCTGTTTAACCTAAGCTCAAGATAAGGTCCAATAAAACAAGATAAAGCTGGCATCTGCCAACTCAGGAGCCTCCCTCCATTTGAAGGAGCTGCCACAAAGAAGAGGAAGAGGTCAACTTATTTTCCAAGGCACCAGAAGGCCAGACAAGAACCAATGGATGGAAACTCAAGGAGAGAAGCAACCTGGAATTAAGGAGAAAGTTACTGTCAGTGGGTACAATCAACCACTGGAACAGCCTGCCTCCAGATGTTGTGGGTGCTCCAACATTGGAGGTTTTTAAGAAGAGACTACACAGCCACTTGTCTGAAATAGTATAGGCTCTCCTGCTTGAGCAGGGGACTGGACTAGAAGACCTCCAAGGTCCCTTCCAGCTCTATTCTATTCATTTGTACGGAACAATACACAGGAGTCGAAGGATTTTTGTACATTAAGTGCCCTCAGATTTGGGTTGACTTTTGGTGATCAAATAGATGGGCTTTCTTGAGCAATAACAAAACAAGTTGGAAGGGACCTTGGAGGTCTTCTAGTCAAACCTCTGGTTCAAGCAGGAGACTCTATACCAGTGGTTCTCAACCTTTCCTTCACCACGGACCCCCTTTAAATATCATTTGTGGCCATGGACCATGGCCACGGAACCCAAGAGTGAAAATTTAAATCATAACATTTCTTCAAGCTATTGTGACCCCTCCCGTGACGACATGGCACCCTCCTCCCAGAGGTCCACAGATCACAGGTTGAGAACTACTGCTCTATAACCATTTGACAAATGATTGGTTGTCCAATCTCTTCTCAAAAACCTCCAGTGATGGAGCACCCACAACTTCTGGAGGCAAGCCGTTCCATTAGCTAATTGAATACAAGTTTGTTGTTGTTGTTAATTGCGAAGTTGTGTCCGACCCATCGCGACCCCATGGACAATGTTCCTCCAGGTCTTCCTGTCCTCTACCATCTTCTGGAGTCCATTTAAGTTCACACCTACTGCTTCAGTGACTCCATCCAGCCATCTCATTCTCTGTCGTCCCCTTCTTCTATTGCCCTCAATCTTTCCCAGCATTAGGCCCTTCTCCAGTGAGTCCTTCCTTCTCATTAGGTGGCCAAAGTATTTGAGTTTCAACTTCAGGATCTGGCCTTCTAAAGAGCAGTCGGGGTTGATCTCTTCTAGGACTGACCGGTTTGAATGCCTTGCAGTCCAAGGGACTCGCAGGAGTCTTCTCCAGCAAGTTACTCTACGGTGAATGTGTGTTTCAGACGATAACACAAAAGGGTGGCACTGGATTAGATCGTAAGAAGCGCACCAGCAAGGATCAAAGCTGCTGCGGGGGAATTTGTGTCGGGAAAAGAAAAACAATGGAGGAATCCTACTGTGTAAATAATCTGCCATGAAGGAAGATTGCCCGTTGTTAAAAACTCGGGTGTTATCGCTGATCTCTAAAGAAAGCATTAACATTAATTTGGGAGTTTATCCGAAGATTCCCTTTTTCATGTAGTGGTTGTTGTAAGCTGTAATGAGCTCCTCAACAGGGTACATAAAAAAGATCTAAAGATTCCATCATCCATCACACTACAACGTGACAATCATCTTGGGCAAGAGAGACTTTGGATTTGAAAGCATCTCACAGCTGGAGAGAAACAGTTCTGGGGAACATTGTAAATAACCTCTAAGCCACCTCTGAATTAAACGAATGTTTCCTTTTAAATTAAATTAAATTTTAAATTAAACGAATGCCTCCTTTTCTCTTGGGCACCAAATATATGAACCAATTAAAAAAAAAATACATACATTTTCTTCGAAAGACCTATGCCGAGTCTCCTTAATGTAAAGTAAATAAAATGAGGAAGGTAATAATAATAATAACAATGCAATGCCACAATGGAGACCAAAAGAGATGGGTGGCATGGCCAGTAATGGGGTATTTCAGCTTTAAGCAAATTTTTGCACCTGTAACTTGGAGAAATATAGCCATAGCACTTGAAAAATTACTCAGATGCTACAGAGTGCCATGAAAATTTATCTTGGAGATGATTTTATTGCATGGTTACACCAGCCAATTAAATCAATAAATCTTGACTGTCAGGGAGCTTGGCCTCATGCCAGGAAGAAATGAAATGCGCAGGATCGGTAAATAAAAGCTTTCTGACAACTCATTCCAGGAATTATTTAGCAGTCGAGTTCTTAAGTTGGGCTTTGTTAAGCCTCCTCTTCATCTCCTTCATTTATGTGCTTCCCCCTCCCGAAAACACAGAATTAAAAATTAAAAATCAGAAAGAGTTCCTGCTGTCTCCAGCTTTTATCAACATGCCTTCAGAGGAGCGATTAGGTTAACCAACACAGAGGCATCCATTAAAAGAAAAGGAAGGATAAGGGGAGGAAGAAATTATTCCAGCTGATATTACTCACCAAAGATTACAGGCTAATGGCACCTCGGATGAACTGTTTTTCTGCTACTTTTTGTTGCTGTTGTTTTGTTTTGTTCGGAGAAATGCAGAAAGTGGCAAAAATGATTGCAGCCAACTTCCCAGAATGAGAAGATTCTAGATTAAGGTAGCTTTTGATGTAAGCTGGTAAAGGAATAACAAAATGAGAGTTGGAAGGGACCCTGGAGGTCTTCTAGTCCAACCCCCTGCCCAAGCAGCAGACCCTGTCAGACAAACGGCTTCTTGAAAACTTCCAGTGAGGGAGCAGCCACAATTTCTGGAGGAAAGCCGTTCCACTGATAGATTGTTCTGTCAGGAAATTTCTCGTAGGTTATCTCCTTGATTAGTTACCATCCATAGCTTCTTGTCCTGCCTTCAGGTGCTTTGGAGAGCCAGTTTTGACCTCCTCTTCTTTGTGGCAGCCCCTGAGATATTGGAAGACTCTTCCGAGACAAAAAACTGGACGTCAGACCCCAAAGCTGAGTGTGGAGTATTTACATCAGACTTGGCCAGTAGGGAATATTCACACTTCCGTCTAATTTCAATCTTAATGCCGGGTGCTTGGCTGTCTTTCAAACCCTGGGGCAGCTAAGGAGACTTTCAGCTCCTCTAACAAGCTATAATACAGGCTCATCCATCCAGTCAAGCCTATCTCAAGTTTGATGGCAAAGCCAGATTTTCAGTGTTTTGTGAAAGTTTGGTGTGTGTGTGTGTGTGTGTGTGTGATGTTCCACAGGGTGGAAACCACAGCAGAAAAGTCTCTCCTACGAGATCCCAACAGGTGACATTCTCTCACAGAAGGGATCTGGAGCAGGCTTCTCCTGCTGGATCTAGCAAGGTAGGTAGACACCACTGTGAGGAGACAGTCCTGTAAGGACCCCATATGTCAGTTTTTCAGGTGGAACATGGGGTTTTGAGGTGCCCATTCTTGACTCAGCGGGTTCGAAAGAAGACTAAGAAAGCCTCCATAAGAAGCCCTCAGGCAACCGAGTTCAGAAAGCACCAAAGACCCCCTCAGACAAATGATTGTAAATCGAGGAGTACCTTATAAAGTGAGGAGAGCTTGTCTGGGTCAAAGCAAAGCCCCTTCTACTCTAGCATTGAATTCATTGTGTTTTTATGTGCTTTGTATTTTACACAAATGAAGGCAAGTATACATGTCACCACATTACAAAAAAGATGTTGAGACATTGGAAAAAGTTCAGAGAAGAGCAACTAAGATGATCAAAGGCCCGGGGACAAAAACATATGAAGAAGAGTTGCAGGATTTGGGTTTGGCTTGTCTAGAGAAAAGAAGGACTAGGAGTGACATGATAGCTGTGTTCCAATATTTGAGGGGCTGCCAAAAAGAAGAGGTGGGGGGTCAACTTATTTTCCAAAGCACCTGAAGGCAGGACAAGAAACAATGGGTGGAAACTAACCCAAGGAGAGAAGCAACCTGGAATTAAGGAGAAACTTCCAAACAGGGAGGACAATTGACCAGTGCAACAGCTTGCCACCAGAAGTTGTGGGTGCTTCATCCCTGGAGGTTTTTAAGAAGAGACTGGGCAGCCACTTGTCTGAAATGGTAGGTTCTCCTGCTTGAGTAGGAGGCTGGACTAGAAGACCTCCAAGGTCCCTTCCAGCTCTATTAGAATAATAGAATAGAATAATAACTTTATTGTCACTTTGAATGTACGCTAATCGGCATACATTAAAAAGAAATGTCATTCCCTACAGCCCTCAAAAGGGTGACCACTTCTGATACACACTACATAAGTATGACAAAAATAAATAAATACAGAATTATGCATATATCTACCTATATTATATGACACAGAGAAACAACAGTCTAGTTCGGGTTATGTCGATCCATCTGATTGATTGATTTCAAGATTGCTTCAACACCAGCCAATCACTGCAGTGGAAGTCCAGAACTAAGCAAGTGTTGGGGCTTAACAAAAAAAAAAACAGCCCCCCCAACAAAATCTTCTGGACCAGGAAGAAGAGGTCTATTGCCCCACTTTGCTGCAGATTAAGAATAACAGGTTACAATTGGCAAGGACAGATCTGCAGTCCCCTTAGCAACAGTAAGTTGGTCTATCCCCGGGTATTGCAAGAGCTCTCCTCCCGTCGATTTGCATCCGTTGCTTTACAGTGTTTGTTGGCAAGCAACTTCCCATTACAGATAATTCTCTGTCAGACCATCAAGCACACACGGGGCGATTACTGTAAAATTAATGGGTTGAAACTCAGTAAGAGCCATTTTATTGAGTTCTGCCTTGACAGGCAGACGGTGCAACATCCCAGCACCAGGGTGGAAAAGCTCGTCTCCATTGTAAAGGCCAGGGAGAGCCAATGGGCAGGGGAAGAGGGGTGGGTTCTAAGGCAGGGGTCTTCAAACTTGGCCCTTTTATGACTTGTGGACTTCGACTCCCAGAATTCCTCAGCCAGCGAGGAGTCTGGGAGTCGAAGTCCACGTCATAAAAGGGCCGGGTTTGAGACCCCTCCCAGAATTCCTCAGCCAGGCAGGCTGGCCTGAGGAATTCTGGGAGTTGAAGTCCACAAGTCATAAAAGGGCCAAGTTTGAAGACCCCTATTCTAAGGTGTGCACCATGGGCAGAGAAGTTTGGAGGCCCCTTAATGCAGAGAGATTTGCTTTAAAAAAAAAAGCTAGCTGGGTTTTAACAGGCTGCAGCATTTGAGTCGGTGGGAAAGACAGAGCTCCTACGTTAAAGGCTCTGGAAAGTCTACATTCTTAGTTGCAACTAAGGATTAATTTGGGCAAAGAATTTGAATCTTTCTCCCCCTTTCCAAGGTGGAGAAGATAGAAATTGTGGTACAAACAGAGGCAGTCCTCATTTAGCAACTACAATTGGGATTGGTGACTAGAAGCAGGGGGTTGGACTAGAAGACCTCCAAGGTCCCTTCCAATTCTATTCTATTCTATTCTATTCTATTCTATTCTATTCTATTCTATTCTATTCTATTCTATTCTGTTCTATTCAGTGGTGAGATTCAAATACCTGAACAACCAGTTCTCTGCGTGGATGCAGACTTGGGTAGATGCAGACTTGGGCCTCTGAAGCCTAGACTGGACTTCCGGAAGTGACATCCATGCACTTCCTGTGGGCTGTTCTAGGCCTGGGAGGCCTTACTCCTATTCTATTCTATTCTATTCTATTCTATTAAGCGAAACTGTAGCAATAAAGTAGAATATTTATAGCTCAGGGCTGAAATGATGAGTCCTTGCTGCTTGGTTGTTTTCTTGATGAAGTTACCTTGTTTGGTAACTTCATCAGTGCTAAAGTGGAACTGTGATTGTGCTTATGACCTAGCTTCACTTTTCTTCACTTTCCAGATCTGTGAAAGCTGTAAATGCAAAAAGTGCTCATAAAGTTCCTTTTTCCTCCAAGTCACAACTATGCACGGTTACTAAATGGAGGCAGTTGCTAAAAGGACTATTTGTAGAATGAACACCAGAAAACCTGGGGTTGTTTTAAGTCTAGGACAAACACGAGATCATAAAAGAGAGCACAGTTCAACATTTCATAAAAATTTTATTTTCCTTTTTTTTTTAAATAATTCAATGCACCGGCAGTATAATTAATCCCTCTATGAGAGACACAAATGTACCAGTTCAACCAATATTATTTTATACAGAGACAATTGTTTTTGAAAACAACAAACAACATTGAAAATGTTTGTACAGAAAGTATTATTTTTTAAAAAAATAGAAAAGAAAATGTAAACAGAAATGCGTAATTGTGCAACACATTGGAAGTACAAAGTAAACAAGCAGGGTACATTTTTCCCCTTTACATAGAAATAAAACAATCATTTTAAAAAAAAATGAAGAGGAACTGAAGATTTCAGAACTATACAACATTTCAGTAATTGCTGGACAGGTTAACAGTAACTGCATCTTAATCTGTACAAAAACATCTTAACTTATGCTTAAAACTGTACAAGGAATAACATGCTTGGTCCAAAGACACATTGTGGATTTTCAGAGATTATGCAATGAATGGTCCCTGCCCACAAAAGCGGCTATTTTGAATGAATGCAAGCTAAATCACCAGGTGGGTGTGGGAATCTGTGTATATAGGTCTCCCAATAGTCAAGTATAATTTAATTTTAAGTGGTAGATGTTGAAGAAGAGCAGGCAGAGCCTGGAAGTGGAGTCAAGAGAGGAATCAGCCTGGAGTCGTTACGTTTCCTCAAGTGGTCTAAGGCCAACCCTGATGAATGCTGTTGACTCTTATCTAGCACCAATTTAGTGTTGACTGTTAGTTGACTAGATTCTTGTCTATAGGCATGAGCAATAAATCTGAACTGGAATTTAATATGTGGTCCTGATGCTTCACGTCTAGCAGTAGGATAATAAAGATCTAACTTTGGTTGAAATCCTTTTGCAAGAGTGCAAGACCTTCCCAGGAACCCAATCATGACTATCCAACTGATTTGAAAATTGGAAGAGTTGCAGTCCAGTACATCTGGAGGACTCTGGATCAGGAGAGCTGACTTCTATGGCGGATACACATGTTTGAAATTGTTTAACTAACATCTCTAAACAGGTAAAGGCAGGATGCAAATTGAGCCTGAGATGATGTTGTGGTTTGTTTAGGGGCAGTTATGGAAAACAGCTGCACAAGTCTTACATTGAGCCAGACAAATCCCTAAGTCTCCGGAGGAGAAACAGAACAGTTTTTCTTTAAAAAAAATTCCCTTTCATTGGTCTCAGTTTACTTTCCTACATCTTGAGACTTAAAAACGGGCGAGGGTATTCCCATAGGGTCTAACTCAGGGTTTTTCCAACTTTGACAGCATTAAGATGGGTGGACTTCACACATGTTAAGGTTGCCAAGGTTGAAGAACCCTGTTCTAACTGAATAAGCTGTCATTCCAAAGAGAACAGAATTTTCCAAGAATTGATTTAAGTGGTGTTTGGTTGATGTCAGGATTTGGCTGAGTCAAAAGTGTGGAGGAGAACCATCTTAGCCGATTACAACTTCTCATGAAACGTCCCATTGCTTGCTTGTTGGACATGACTTTGCTTTTTTTATTTTGTTGGAAAGATGCGATTCTGCCCAGGATTATTTTCAAGCTGGCCACCCCTGGGCTCTGACCACAGATTCCGAAGTCAAATATGCTATGATAAGGAGATTCATTGAGATCCTCAAAAATATTTGCAAGGATGAACGTTTTAGTCTTTAAGGAGCCACAATCTCTGTTGGTCAAGTCAGCTCCTTTGATCAGAGTAACTTCTATTTCTACAAGACAGCCCACGATTTTTTCTTTCTTTCTTAAGGACTCCAATTAATTTCCTGCCTTTTTCTTTTTTAAACTTACAGGGCACCCAAAGCCGCTTTCAAATTGCAAGATCTCTTAATGAAACAAAGCAAATGATAATAATAAAAACTCCCTCTAGTTTAGTCTGGATAAATGTCAAGTCTTACATGACCGTGTGTTTAAGCCAGTGTTTAAAACCATCCGGCATTCGCTCAGATGTTGGAAACTGCCATATTTTTCTCAATTCTTAGCCTGCCTTTTTGGAAGCTCTGGCAGTTGACTACATTGGCCAAGCACTTTGATGTCATTCCTTCAGCCCCCAATTCTTTCTTTCACAAAGAACTCCCCATTTAATTGACACGGCCTACAGATAAAATATTTTACACCCCAACAGAGCCTGAGGCATTCACCTTCACTGAGATACAGCTAGCAAGGAAGGGGAACTTCCATCGTTGATTTTTTTTCTTCTTCTTCTTCTTCCCCTAGAGATTTTTTTTTATTGGCAGACGTTCAGAGCTGGCGCTATATTACCGTGACTGATTTACACTCCCACCATTGAGGGAAAATGCCATTCACTCAACGGGGAGGGGGGGAATGTGGGGGTGTTTGAAATCCGCTTGTTTTAATGGGGCAATAATTCAAACCTGTAACCTTGGTCAGTCTTCCCAATGAGGCTTTCAAGAAGATGAACAGGAACTTTCAACAGAAGTTGGAGTAAATTTCAAGGTGGGCAACTTTCCCCCCTTTGTAATAGAGCCTGGTTCTTGGGCTTTTAAAAGCTTTCCATTTCTGGCATGGAAAGGACAATCTAATTTTGATGGATTCCCCCCTTCCCTTTTCTTCCTCTTTAGGAGATTTGAAGAAGAGATGCGATCCTTTTCTACTCTTTTCCAATTAATCCCAGATCATTTCCTTGCCCTCTAAACCGAGGTTTAGCAAAACAAATGGATTGTATAGAGCAGTGGTTCTCAACCTGTGGGTCGGGACCCCATTTGGGGTCGAACGACCATTTCACGGGGGTCGCCAAACAAGGCTGTCCGCCATTTTTTCCCCTTTTCTTTGGCCACGCCCCTGGCACCCGGTGATGTATAAGTGGTTGGGGGTCACCACAATATGGGGAACTGTATTATGGGGTCGCGGCATTAGAAAGGTTGAGAACCACTGGTATAGAGTCTCATAACTCATGACACCCCTTCAGACATCTGGACAGGAAGGCGGTTGCCTTATTGCGTGTTGTTGAAATGCATTATATGGATGCAGAAGAAAGCTCTCATGAATCTAATATGGAACTGGGGAAGGATAAGGAGACAGAAACGTAAGAAATTTGAGAGACCTACTCAGAGATATGGAGCAATTTTTGGAATCAGATGGGAAATGAAGTCTATGTTCAGTTTCCAATATGGAAGCTTAAGGAGACGCAAGCAAAGAAGATCTTCAGATGAAGCTAGTAAAGGAATCACCAGCAGATGCTGGATTCTCAGTCCTTCTCATCATAACTCAAGTCACAAGTTTTAGACAAACTCTCTGTGGGAATATCTATGGAGATTCTCAGTCATCCAGTCATGGATGAAGAAGTTCCGAAGAAGCTTCTTGGATGAGAAGCAAAACGTCTTCAAGGAAATGAGAAGCAAAATGTCTTCAAGTAAAAATAAAGAAAGTCCAGTTGCCTCTTGAAAAAGCACCTTTGGGTCTCTGTGGGAATCTATTCTTCTATGCAAAATCTCTAACCTGGTTGAAATAATCAAATTCTGGCAAAAGTCTTTGTAGACCAGCCAAATGTTGCCAAGAGTGCTTTCTAATTTTGAACTATAGTAGTATAATGTGGAATAAAATACTTTTAAGACTTAGATGTATTTATTTTTCTAAAAAAATGTGAATTATTGACTGCCATCAAGTTAACCTTTAAAACTAGATTTGGACTCAAGTTGTTAAAAATCTTGGCACGTGGATGCAACCCCCCCCCCCAGATGCCCCAGCAGTTTGAAGCACTGATATATCACTTTCTGAAATTATAGGATTATACAAGGGAATATAGCTACAAGTGATTCTCCTCTCAATTATCTAATAAGAATGGAATATTATTCTGGAGAGATAAGGACATAAAATGGTATTTACATTGTTAGGTGACTGATGTTTTTCGTGGATTAATTTCCCCAAACCCCTCCCCCCATGACATTTACAATTAAACTGTTGACATTAGTAGGACCTTCCTTAAATTTGTCTGTTAAGTTTATTCCTTCATACAAAGTCTGTTGTGGAGGACCTGTGCTTTTTCCAAAAAAAGAGAGAGAGAAATCAAAATGAAAATGGTATTAGCCAATATCCAGTTTAAAACCAAATTTTAACAAAGCAATTAATGGAATATAGTCTAGTTAAAATCAAGCTGTTGACTGAATTCAAGAAAGCTTAGCTCACAGGTAAGGAGTGCCGCAGTTCTAAACTGCACTGGCATTGGTCCAAATAGATAAAGCTTATACATTAAATGATAAGACAACTCTGTAAGGCTTACCAAGGCTTACTTATTGTTTTTAGGAAAAGAAATATATTTTGAAGTTCAAGGTAGTGTGTAATGGAAACGGACTCTGATCTCAAAGGCTTTCTCTCCCTTATCCCTTGTGTTTTGGTTTCTTTACTTCCCTTTTTTTGTTTGTGTGATAAAAGAAATATGCCCTGCAGCTGTTAAGGGGTTTTCAATCTTGCCTTCCTTCTTATATCTTGAGTTTTAGTCCTAGTGTTGGAAACGTAGGTAGAGGCAGAACAATGGGCACATCCTGCTTAAAAGCTCCTGGTAGGGATATCAATGGATGTGTGGCCTCCACTGGATGAGTGGGGAAAATATGATGATAATTTTCAATTTCTTCAGTACACAACTCTATGGGAAAACCCTTCATCTCACAGCCCTCCCGTCTGTTGCTGTCAGCCAAAGGATCTCTTCCTGCCGAAAGTGAACAGAAGGAGGACAAGAAACCTAATTCTTGAATTTGTTGGCGTCTTTTCCAACCCTTGTGTCTTTGTGAATGTCTTGCCTGATGAAAGATTCTGAAGGATTTGAAAGCTCCCATACCTGCTCGGTGACAGGTTGGGGGGCCTATTAAAAGGATTGCCCTCCTGCAGATAGAAGAGGACTCTTAATGCCTAAAGGGCTTCATTAAAACCATTCTGAGTGGAGCATGGTGTGTGCTGCAACCCACAAAGAAGGACAGGTTTGAAAGCACATCTCAGAAGCTTTGTAGTAAGGAATGAAAAAACAACAACAGCCCAACACCTCTCTAGGCTATCCTAGAAATGGAGTCATTACAGTGATTATACTGAGCCTTCTCAGTAGGCTTGGACATTGGGCCATCATAGATGAGAACCAACCGGGTCCAGCTTTGTTTCTCAGCCGTGGCAACTTTAAGACCTCTGGACTTCAATTCCCAGAATTCCCCAGCCAACACATGTTGGGATATAGTGAAACCTCGCTTTAACAAAACTTCTGTTTAGCAGACTCTGGATGCCAATGATCCAGTTGCCATTTAGACATCCTTCTAAAACAGCTCACAAGTCTATCCCTTCCCAAGAAGTCTAGAGGAGACAATTTCAATGCATCTTTGAGCAATGACGATATCCTTATGCAAATGAGGCAATGAGGGTCAATCTATGTCATTTGCGTAACATTACAGTTTCATTCACATTTTCAGACAATTGGCTTCATTTCCATCATGACATCCCTTGCCATGGTAATTAACGGCTGCATTTAATGGACATTCAAGAGTAATGGACATCCCCCACCCACAAATGGTTCAATTAAATGAGATTAAATGAGATTACCTTGTACCATCGGATGAATCTATGGTAATTTGTGGAGATGCCCCACACATTTAGAATAACAAAAAACATCTCTCACTTATTTTTTTTTTAGATTAGAGAGAGATCTGGATGGACTACTGGGTATCATTTTCATTTAAAAGAGTCCCATGGTGGTGAAATAGATTTAAAAAGGGCAGGGTGCTGTCCCATCAAAAATGGAGATCCACAAAGCAGAATTACAAAACATGATAGTTCACTGGCCTCTCTATAGAGATCTCCCAAAGTCTTTTGTGATACATGTGTATTTATGTGCCGGTGTTTAAGGCAGCGTGGAAATGCTTGAAGTTACAGTTGTTTAAGGACCACACAATTGTAACAATGACCTCTTGTCTAGTAACAAGTCAGGATTAAGCTAAGAAAAAGGATGGTTTGTATCAGAAGGACAACACTGTGTTGGGAAGAAGGAGTTTCTCTGCATTAATTGGCAGGCATGAGAACTTTCAGAAAGGGGCCCTCAAAATATTATTAACCCTTTCCTCCCAAATATATTTCTCGAACAAAGTGCAATACTGCAGGGATTGACCGTTCTGTATGTTACAGATGGCAATATTGGCAGGATCTAGAATCCATTCGTAGGCCAAGGAAATAAACAACGCTGGTTCAACAGGAGGAACACGTACCCTGCTTGGAAGCTACATTTTCCATTTATGGCAATTCCACTCCGGATGGATAGAATAGTTTGTGTTTTGTATAAGACAGAAAGAGAGACAGCAACAAAATTAAACTCTATGAATACAATTACGGGAGGAAGTGTGGCTGTCCATCGGTGATCACCTGTGCGCCGATGAAGGAAACGGGATGGAGTTGTGACAGGTGGCATGGCCATCACTACAACAAGTGGGCTTCAGTACGAAGCCAATGGAGTCCTTGACGAATGTAACGGACCAGGTTGGTCATACTGCTGTGTTGTGTCAATGGACCCATGACCAAGTCCAAGTCTATGAAGAACTCTGAAAAACAGAGAGAAATGTTATTTTCTGCTTGTCTACTGGGGCGGGGGGCAGTATATCTCCAAAGTAACTGGCATGGAATTTATTGGTTAGTTTTCTATGCTCCCAATTTTCTCCTGCCCCTGATGTCTATCTCTCCATGTCTATCTATACATCCATATCTATGTGTCTTCCATTTGTCATCTCTCTCTCTCTCTCTCTCCATCCATCATATCTATCATATCTGTCTGTCTGTCTGCCTGCCTGCCTGCCTGCCCCCCCATCTATCTATCTATCTATCTATCTATCTATCTATCTATCTATCTATCTATCTATCTATCTATCTATCTATCATCTTAGAACTTATATCTAATGGGCCTGTAGGACTTCAGAACCTCTAGTTTTGAAGAGAATAAGGCAGGGATTAGCAATAATGGATGAAACCTTAGCAAGGGTGCTAAATTCCCATGTTCTTGTCTGAGTTCAGACATGGGACCATATATAAGGGCAAGTATTGACACTCTAGTGAGCCTTTATATTTTATAAGGGCGGGTGTAGTTTGGTCTTTTACTGGGTCCTTTTAAGAGAGGTCTTAAAAGGACAGGGCACCATCCTGTCCTCTCACACTTCCTTTTCTCAACTCCTCTTCACACTCGGAGCCCTGGCTGATATGCTTCAGAGGATTAGTCTGTGAGAAGGAAAAATACAGAAACAGTCTCCCTGTCCATTGACTCCCCCTTTGGTGAAGAGTAATCCTCATCACAAACAGTAACAAAGCCAGTCAGTGAGCCAGCGTGTTCTGCTAACCTGCAAGATAAGAGCTGCTGGGTCTAATCGTTACCAATGTAGCCTTAACAGATCTCAAACTGGGGAGGGGGGGAAGAGAAAGAACAAGGGGAAGATACCTTTGTTTTCTTTTGTCAGTTTGTCAGCCATGTCCCAATGTTCGTAGCTCCGCAAGACGTTGTTGGTGATGTTGACGTGGCTGGCAGCCATGTGGTGGATCCGTTGTGGGATGCTGATGGTCCCCACCGAAGAGGAGGAGCCTGCCGTGCTTGTGGTACTTCCAAGGTTGCTGATGGGCGAGGGGCTCAGAGACATGGGGGATGGTGTTTCTGTGCTTCTGGGAACATGATAAAGAGCCAGTGGATTTGATTTCTATCACACCTTTGGTTGTGAAGCAGACCTAATCTAGGCAACTTGATCAAACAAGTCTAAGTGTAGAATCCTTGGTGCTCTCTGAGCTTGGATAAACGTCTAGGGCAGGGGTGTCAAACTCAATTTCATTGAGAGCTGCATTGCGGTTGCCCTCAGGGGGCCGGGTGGGTGTGGCCAGGGTGGGTGTGGCCTACTGGGTGGGTGTGGATGGAGTGGGTGTGGCCAGTTCTACATTGTTCGCGTCAAGGGTGCCTGTGGGGGCCTGGGCAGGAGTGAGACAAATCTGAGGGTCTCAGGCAGAAGGGGGTGGGACCAGGGCAAGTGCCAAGGCATGGTCCACTGGAGGAGCCTCACTGTTCCTCTCAGGCAATGTGGGGGGGGGGCTGGATGATGGTGCGGGCTACCTGGATCCATGAGCAGCAGAGGTCAAATGCCCAGCCTGGCCCTTGAGCACCCGCGACACCAAGCCCAGCCCCACTTCCTCAAGGCTGCTGCTCAAGGTTGCTGTTTCCAGACAGCCTTGTGGAGCTAAGACTGAATGCGTTTCAGCATAGATGGCCACCACAAAATTGTACATTGGCTCCCAGCTGACCTGGGCCAGGGCCAAGGCAGTAGGGGCTGTTCCCTCACTGTTTCCAGGATGGCTTCGCGGGCCACATGAAACCACTTCGCGGGCCACATCCGGCACCCGGGCCTTGTGTTTGACATGTCTGGTCTAGGGAGACTCTCAATCATCCAACTCATGGTTGTCCCAATGCTGCTTTTTCCAAAAGGCAACTGGTCTTTCTTGGGTTTTTTTCTTTGAAAACATTTTGCTTCTCACTCAAGAAGCTTCTTCTGTTCTTCTTCAGAACTAGGTAGCTTCATCAGTGCTAGAAGGGAGTGAGGTTTACTCTCTGCTTCTATACAAGTGGCTTACTCTATCAGTGTTGGTGGAAGCGGTCTTGGTGGAGAAGACCACTTGGTGGTTCCTTGGAACCACAGCCTAACCAACGTTGGATGGATTTCCCTACTTCTGTGTTAGCACTACAGCATGAAACTAAAAGTCAAAGAAAGAAAATGCAACTACACCTTAACACACATTTAATCTGATTCTCCCCATCTCCAGACAGGGATGATCAACCACTGTCTAGCTTCAACCCTGTTTGTTCACTGTTTCCCTCTTTGGAGGGGAAGAGAGGAGGGATCTCCAAGAGATAGTTGAAAGCATATTTCCCAGAATTCCATGGGCATTCTTAACCCGGATGCACCAGGAGGAATTTCAAACTATTAACTAATAAAATCCTGGTCAGCCATCTTGTTTCAGTAGGTCTCTTTCAATATACTTGTGGAGATGCATTCTTCTTATTCAGCGTACTTTCAAGAGCACCTTTTAAACAAATAAATATACAATTGCTATAAATTCCTATCTTTTAGCCCCAAATCTTATAGTGGCATCCCAAAGGGATTTAGGGGCAATGTTCCAAAGAGAAATCTTTGATTAACTGCTGTCCTCAGTAGAATTTGTTTACTCTGTATGGTTGGTTGATTAATAAACACCTAAGTGAAGTAGGGCAAACAAAAACAATTTCGGGGTTTTTTCCCCCCTTAAAAGTCTTTCAAATTTCCCTTCCTGCTGCGAAGATTATTTTCAGGCTGCTAAATTAAAAAAGAATCCAGCTATGCAATATGTTCTCAGATCCCAAGATTCCCTATGGAAGCCAATCATGAGCCCAAAGGCTGTATCTAATTTGCATATTTTATTAACATTATTCCATTGTGCTTGACAATTAATCTGCTGGATATTGTGACAAGTGCGTTTTCTGTCAGCCATTTCATTTCATTTTATTTTTTCAGATTGAATAGTTAGCATCTGGCTCCTGCTAATATTACAAAAAAGAAAAGAAAAGAAAAGGAATGCAATAGCCTACTTTGGAAAGCCAATGTGAAATTTGATAGGATTAATGCCAAACAGTGATGATGATGATGATGGATGACGAAGAATAACAGCAGGCTACTGAGGGTCAAAATATTCGCGGTAAGCATGTAGCCTGTAGTCTTCATTTTTTTCAATCTAGCTTAGTATCATAACGTAGACGGAGATGGAGTTTAATCTGTCCCATCTCAGTTTGAAATTGTCCTTCAAGAATTCACCTATTCAACAAAGAGTTAAAATGGTCCTATTTTGGGATCCTGTTAATAAATCTCTTTTACTTCCATTGACTATTGATTATTGGTGGGATGGTATTCCATCTACTGCTTTTGTGGATATCATCACCATTGGAGCTCCTACCAAAACTTGATGTGATTTCCACCAACTGAGGTAAGGATGGGATGAAGACTAAGGCGCCTTCTCACAAGTCACAAGAGAAGCAATATGGTGTAATTAATAGGATGTTGGTCAAAGACTGGGGAGATCATGGTCCAAGGCTACCTTTAGCTGGGAAACAAAGTGACCTTTGCTCCTTCTCTTCTTTTCAACCCTGAACTGTTGTGGGGCCTTGGAGAGAGGGTTGGACTAGAAGACCTCCATGGTCCCTTCCAGGCCTATGATTCTATGACAGCATTGAAGGGAAAAGCTACATTATTTTCTATGAGAAAGGTTTGATATGACAGGTAGAATTTTAAATGATTTTGCTAGATGAACAACTGGAATTACATCTGTTCTGGGGAGGAACAGGAAAATAAGAGAATAATAATAGAACAAAGGATCTTCAAAATGTTGTGATCTTCCCACCCCACTTAGGAAACAGTCTGAATTATTGGCTAATAACTGATGGGGAGAAAAATTCAATTTGCTACAATAGCTTGGCCTATTTCCCCATAATCTGTTCTTAAACCCCCTTCCTGGGTGGTAGAAGGAATCACATAGAACATTAATCCTATATTTCTGCAGGAATTCTTAGGGCTTTAACATTCTTCGGCATCAAATCACCTGGGTTGTGTTTTCTATGAAGTTGTCTTTTAAGTTATTTACTTGGCGCTCACTAACCCTCCCACGTGAATTTTCTTTTAACACCACAATTATGAAAACATCTGCCAGCTTAGAGTACTATGAGACAGCTGCCCCTAGTAGAATTTTACATTCAAGCAAGAGTTCAGAAACTGAATTATTTTTTTTAATACACATTGGAAGCTGATCAAAATCCCAGAAATCCATATAATGTGGATGTGACCTCAGACTTATCTATAGATTTTCCCACTAGATAGAGGGATAGAATCAAGATCACATGAAGTGTTAATACCACTTTATAAGGCCTTGGTAAGGCCACACTTGGAATACTGCAGCCAGTTTTAGTCACCACGTTGTAAAAAAGATATTGATACTCTAGAAAGAGTGCATAGAAGAGCAACAAAGATGATTAGAGGACTGGAGGCTAAAACTTACAAGGAACGGTTGCTGGAAGTGGGTATGTCTAGTCTAGTGAAAAGAAAGACAGGGATGACCTGATAGCAATGTTCCAATATTTGAAGGGCTACCACAAGAAAGAGGGAGTCAAAGAGTGGAGTCAACCTATTCTCCAAAGCCCCAGAAGGCCGGACAAGAAACAGTGGATGGAAACTAATCAAGGAGAGAACCAACCTGGAACTAAAGAGAAACTTCCTGACAGTAAGAACAATTAACCAGTGGAACAACTTGTCTCCAGAAGTTATGGGTGCTCCAACACTGGAGGTTTTTAAGAAGAGGTTGGACAACCATTTGTCTGAAATGGTATAGGTTCTCCTGCCTGAGCAGGGGGTTGACGAGTGGTTCATATTTATGACGGTCGCAGTGTCCCGGGGTCACGTGTTCCCCTTTTGCGACTTTTTGAAAAGCAAAGTCAATGGGGAAACCAGAGTCACTTAATAGTGGTGTGACTAACTTGCCAACTGCAGTGATTCACTTAACAACTGTGGCAAGAAAGGACATTAAGATGGGGCAAAATTCACTTAATAGATATCAACAGAATGTTGGGCTTAATTGAGATGAGGACTACAACTGTATATTTGAAGCTGGTGACACGCACCGCTTATTTCCCGCGTGATCTATAGTACTTGGTGGCCTTCCAACGGCTTATCCTGGACGATGAAAAATATGGAAAAAGAATAATGTTGACCACCCCAATAATGAAACCCAATGTTTGAACATGTCAGTCCTAGTCTGAAGATGTGTTGAGTTCCACTTCAGGAGATGAAACATCTTGGGGAACACACAACATTGCGTTGCACCAGATCCATGTTATCTCAAGAGTTCTGATGGAGCAGCTTCTTCCTCCTCTCCTGCTCCCCAAGAGGCATCCTTTGCCCAGAGTTCAAGGATGGAAAATAAATTGTCCTTCATAGCCTACCTTTGCTCCCCTCTCTGTCTACCTCAGCACCTGTCCTGCATGATGGATGATTCTGTTGTGACAAGCCCTCCTGTTCTTTATGGTCTCAGATGCTCATGGTGGCACGTTATTCATGGTAGACAGGGTGCGTTCAGCTTGGGTGATCACAAAGTGTGCAGCCTGCTTGATTATGAGCACAGGTGGCACAACACGGGTGTACCGGACTCAAATATGTATGTGGTTAACAAAATTGAGCTTTAGGGTTGAAACCAGCTACTTTTGCACTGAATCAGAGCAGAACACAGGGTGAAGAGATTCTTCATTTGAGTTCCATAATGCTTCAAGTTTATCAACAGCAGTTACCATATATCAATTGAATAATTGTTGGCTTTTGTTACTGAACAAATCACTGTTGGTGATTTGAGACATTAACTTTGATCCTAAACTTTTCTTTACTCTTCTGGAGAGGTGTGGTCCTTCCTAACCAACTCCTTTACGGTCCTCAATTGGGTTTGAGGAGAATACGGGATCTATCAATCCATATAAATTTATCATTCTGTTTGTCAAACTTTGACACCCCTTCCCCCGAACATTAAACCTAATCTAACAATAGATCTTCATCAACCAAGGAGTGTTCCCTCTTCCCAATATCCTATTTTACAATTCCCCTCCAAGAACGAGGGATACTTACTTGCCACCCCAAGGAGAAGGGGCCTGTGAAACTTTGGATGAATTCTGTTAAAGAGAGAAAGAGAGAGAGAGAGAGAGAGAGAGAGAGAGAGAGAGAGAGGGAGGGAGGGAGGGAGGGAGAAAGAGAGAGAGAGAGTCAATTAAGTGGAAGAAAGCACAAAATGGCCTTAGCAAATCAAATAACCACTTGCATTTTTTAAATCCAATGGGCGGTGTTACATGAGCCCATAAATACAATACGTTACCTTTGAAAACCTTTCAGCATGACTATCAATGTTTCACAATAGTAGCTCATCTGTTGCAATATATTCACACACACAAAACACAGAGACACACACAAAGAAATGGCGCTTTTTTTTTTTTTTGCAAAAGTGGCGATGTGGAAAATCACTGACAGGGTAGCATTTTCTGAATATATCTTACGTTCGCTTTATAAAAATTCTGGAGCCAAGCCTTGTGGCAGAGACCTTAAAGTAAGTTTTGGGGAAAAAAAGCAGTTTTGCAAAAAAAAAATCCCCAGAACTTATATCCAAAGTCACCCTTTATTTTTCTTTGGGGAAGGGTTTCTTTGAAGGGATCTTTGGAGGAGAATCCACCCCACTCTTTCCTCCCAAACCCTTAATGACGAGGGTTTTGCCCTTTCTGCATAAAAAGCAATTAAATGCCATTTACCTTAAAATATTCCATCAAGGATCTGGAGTACTTCATGGCGTGATCCTTCTTTAGTTTAAACATTCTCAGATAAAGAAGGGATAAGCAACGGTAGCTATAGTAATTCGGAAACACACACAAACACAAAGTTGACGTTATTTCCAAAAGATGTGATCTCTGGGCACCAGCCACAGTGGAGAACCACGCTGGGTTAGCACTGACCTAGAGCTATTTTTAAAATGATTTTTATTAAGCGTTTTTTTACAAAGAGACAAGACAAATATGAAAGTATAGAGGAGAGGAAGGAAGGAAGGAAGAAAGAAAGGAAGAGAAAGAAAGAAAGGAAGAAAGAAAGAAAGAAAGAAAGAAAGAAAGAAAGAAAGAAAGAAAGAAAGAAAGAAAGAAAGAGGAAGGAAGAGAGAGAGAGAAAAGGTTGCAAAAGGCTCCCTTAATGATTGCCCTGCTTAGCAATGGAAATTCTAAATCTGGGTGTAAATCAAGGACTACTTGTAAGAAACAGAACAAGGAAGATGAAGATGAATGGAGCCACAGGGGAGAAGGATAGAGGAGGAAGAAATGGCAAGGAATATTGAGGGAAGAGAGAGAAGTCAGAACAGTCTAAATTCTGGTTTTCAACAAAAGCTTTAATCAGATTTAATAACTAAGGCAATGGAGAAAGATGTCTTACCAAAGGACTGCAAGTTTCTTGTCTCCTTCTGTAGCAGAAGACCCGGTGAAGTTCTTAAGTCTCATGGCGTACCTTCAGAGAGAGAAGGAAGAGAAGAGGTGGCATGGGTGGCATCAAGGAATAACAGTGGTGGCCACAGACACAACTTAATGATCTCGGAGTTGTAAACAGGTATCAGGGCCTCCATCGTCCTTCAACAGAGCAGCTGCTACCCTCAATGAAAACAGTAGGAGAAATATCTTTCTTTTCGTAGAATAACAGAGTTGGAAAGGACCTTGTAGGTCATCTAGTCCAACCCCCCCCACCCAAGCAGGAGACCCTACACCATTTCTGACACATGTCAGTCCAGTCTCCTCTGGAAATCTTCCAGTGATGAAGCTCCCACAACTTCTGAAGGCAACTTCTGTTTCATTGGTTGATTGTTCCCACTGTCAGGAAATTTCTCCTTATTTCTAGGTTGAATCTCTCCTTGATCAGTTTCCATCTGTTATTCCTTGTCTGGCCTTCTGGTGCTTTGGAAAATAGGTTGATCCCTCCTCTTGGTGACAGCCCCTCAAATATTGGAAGATTGCTATCTTGTCTCCCCTGGTCCTTCTCTTCAGTAGACTAGCCATGCCCAATTCCTGCAATCCTCCTTCATACGTTTTAGCCTCCGGTCCCCTAATTATCTTCACTGCTCTTCTCTGCAATCTTCATTTTCACTTCTCTGGACCTTCCCACTCTCATATTCCCTGCACTCGGCTTTTTGAAAAATCAGATCATCCTATAAAAATCATTGTTCTGAACCTTAATACAATTTCCCAGCACTTATGTTAAGGATAAGGAAAAGAGTTCACTCTTGCGTAAGAAAGTTTTAAGGTATTCCGGCAGCTTCATTTACCAGGAAGTAATGGAACAGGTGAAATGGCAGTGTGTTGATCACACTAGTGTGCTGTCACACCCATCACTGCTCTGATATGCTGATTATGGAAGCTCCTTTTGATCTATGCTGGCTGGGGAATTCTGGGAGTTGAAATCCACAAATCTTAAACTTGCCAAGTTTGGAAACTCCTGAACTAAAGAACTTTCTGCTAGGTGACAGTATATAGATATTTTAAGTAAATAAATATATGAACACTCGTGTTGACTATAAACTGGATGCATTTCTGCTCTCCCCTCTTCCTTTCTGGGTATATCTAAACAAATGAAGCCCTTATCTGCCAAAATTCATTTTGGAACAATTATTTTATGGCTAATTGATAAAGTCTAAAAAGGCAGGCTTTATAACAGAGACCCCAACAGTCTCCCTTTAAAATATTTGGAACGATAAAACTAACCCTTTCCAATATAAATGTCACAGCCCAATGATGAAATTATGATGCTTCCATCCACTGCATTTCAATTTTAATTATACGAATATTGCAAATTATACAACACCCTTATTATCCTCTAACAGGGCTAATTTATAAGAACAGCATCCATCAATTATGAATTTTCCATGGCGTTAATAAAATGGCGAAAAGAACTAATTATGATGGCTTCTGAGATAGAGTTGCCTTGGTCTAATCATTAACAAGGTCACAATGATCCTTAAAGAAAAAACATGAAGCAAGTTATAATTATGCGTTGAAGGAGAGGAGGAAAAGGATCACAGAAAAGGCATTAACCTGATCAGTTCCACTGTCTCGGAGTACATGGTATATGGAGATTTCGCCTCTAATGGATCACGCTCCATGGCATTCCCGCATTCGATGAAAGAGATAGCGGCGTCAGCATAATTCACCGCTTTGCCAAATTTTTCCAGCTGAAAAATAAAGGAAGGTGGACGTACAATTGAGACGAGGCTTCGGCTGGTCTACAGCAGAGGTCCCCAAACCTTTGGGGCACCAGTGGAGAAAGATTTTCCTGCGGACTGGAGGGTGTGTGGTTTTGTGTGCTGCCTGCATCCCAAGGATGGGGCTTTGCTTGTTTTGCGGACCTCTCCATTACTGCCCCCACGATGGGCATACCTGTTAATGAACGGTGCTGCATGGCATACTAATAATTAGCATCGTTTAATACACTATTAATAAGGCTCACAAGTGTGTTGCAATCCTGTCTGGTATACCATCTCTCTGCTGAATCAGCAACGCAATCAGGTAGAGTGAAAGGGATACTTAGAGACTTACCAGGGCATCTGCTTTATGCTTGAGCTTTTTGGCTTCTTGCATGTAATAATCAGCATTGTGGAGCCTAGGAAGACATAACAACAATGTCAGAAGAAGCAGCTGATGGGATTTCAGCTCTTGCATTGGCCTAATCTAGACTTAATTCTTACAGGGCTTGCTTTAATCCTGTCCATCTTCTAAAAATATATATATATACATGGTACTCTGTTTTCTTCACTCTTGTGACTCATCCCAGAAGTTAAGAAGGATAGGCTCTGGAAAATATTTGGGAAGGAGACCACTTGGGAATCTGAGAGCCCTCGACCAGATTGGGAAGTCAAGAGAACATCTTGGAAGAAGCTGACTGCAAAAGACTTCTGCTAACTGTATGAAGATTTCAAACGTCTAATACGTGCACAGTAAATTTTCTTCCCCTACAAAAGATATTTCTTCATTTGTACAATCTCTAGCCATTGCACAGAGTTCCTCCAGCTTATCTCTTGGCAATATCAGATTGGACAATTATAGGGCGTGCTTTATTTAGAAGACTAAAATGACCATGTGGATTTTGGCCTGGTCTGGATTTCATTCAAAAGTGGGCCAGGATTGAGAAGAACCAACTCTTGTCTTAGGGACTGACTGGGTTGGTCAGTCTTAATTCTAGGCAGCGGTGGGATTCAAATATGTGAACAACCAGTTCTCTGTGTTGATGCCGCTTCCGGAAGTCCATTCTGGGCCTGGGCAACAAAAAATTAGCTACTGGTTCTGCCAAAGTGGTGCGAACTGGCTGAATCCCACCACTGATTCTAGGACAAAGATAAGGGCAAACAATTTCTGACAATGTTGCCCAGAGAACTGCATGTGGTTGTAGGAGTCACAACTTATTCAAGGCTCCCCAATCCAATGAAACTCAACCCAATCAAAGTTGCTTAGGCAGTGTACAAAAAGAAGATTCCAAGGCTAAAGTGCTTCAAAGCAATGCAAATCCACAAAAATACTAATATGATCCTACTAATAAGTAACTAACATATCATCAAATGTTATCTTGGGTCTTCTCAATTCAGGATTCCCGTTGTTGAAGGTGGGACTTGTCAACCAAAGATCGGTGTCTAGGTGGCTGGATTCCAGCAAAGGATTGGAAGGCCTGCTGTGAGCTTCTTCCTCCTGCAGAAAACAATTTTAATTAGCAGCCTCAGCCTTTACGCTAAGAATACCTTTACATGTCCCGTCATGCAAGTGTGCGTGCCTTGAAATTAAAATCCAGCTCTTTGTTTTGCATTGCTTGGGCTGCATGTTGCTAAGTCAAGCTCAGCAAATTAATTAAGTGCAATAGGCTCCATACCACTCACATGCCCAGCATCATTAACACCCACTTCTTCCAAGGTGTAATGTCAGCATGGGTGCCTGGTAGCATCGCTGGCTTATTAAAATTAAAATGTTAGAAGCCAAACAGCAAGCAAAAATTCACAGTATCCACTGATTAAGCCCGGCGCCAGACGAGAGCAGAAAGGTCTGCCCCTGGAAAAAGATAATTCTTGAATTTTCTGCCCTTTTAAAATCATAGAAGCTAAATCACAGATTAAAGATCAGTGCTGTGCAGTGTCTCTTGAATTTTGCATGACCAAAGTGAGCACGGTCAAGAGTAGTTGGTGTAGAAAAAACAATTTCAAGAAGGTGTTATGGTTCCGGCTAATGAAACACTTCAAAGAAATTCCAGGCATTGATTTTCCTAAACGTCATTTATTGTTACAAAATGTCGGCACAGGCATAATGGAGTCTTTATGCTAAGATCTAAGTTCTCTTCCTCTGAGCAGTTAAATTATCAGCGTGTTCCCTCCCTAAATTAGCTGTCATATATCACATTATCCAATTAGTGTGAAGGTCAAAGGTTTCCTTCCTCTTTCTTTCCCGGGCTTTACCCCTACCCCCTTCTGCTCTGTATTAACCCCCAAAATACCAGACAGTTCTGCATATGGTCAAAGCAAGAATATACAATATTTGCAGTGTTGACATCCGGCCCCCCTTACAAGAAGGACAGATCCTGTAAAGTAAACAAAAGCATACATTAAGGGTTATCTTTTGGTTTGTTGGGGTGTTTCACATGAAACCTTTTGACCAATCTGTCAGCTTTCACTTCACTCGATTTCACCCAGGTGGCTTCAGACAACGGGTATCCCTTCCATTGTATTAGGTACTGCAATTTCCCTTTAAAAATTCTAGAATACGTTTTACTTCATAGTGGGTCTGTCCTGCGACTACGAAGGGCCCAGGCGCCTTCTTCTTCGGAGGTCTTAAAGTGGAGCCCCGATAAGGCTTCAGCAAGCTACAATGGAAAACTGAGTGAATTTTCCCTAAAAGTCTAGGGAGTTTTAGTTTTACTGTGACCGGGTTGATGATCTTTACTATGGGGAAAGGCCCCAAGAATTTTGGTCCCAATTTCTTGCTGGGCAGTTTGAGGCGTAGATATTTAGTTGACAGATAGACTTTTTCCCCAACTTGGAATGTTCTTTGGGGAGCCCTCTTTTTATCAGCCTGCTTTTTATAGGTTTCAAAAGTCTTTTTTAAAGCAGTTTTTGTGTTTCTCCAAACTTCTTCCCACCCCCTCACCCACTGATCAAGTGTCTGGGAAGCGGAGGGCAACTGAGGATATTCAGGTATTGGGCTGAACTCTTTTCCTGTGGCCACTCTAAAAGGTGTGTATCCGGTGCTGCTGTGCACAGAATTATTGTATGCCCATCTCCGCAAGGAGGGGGAGAGGGTATTTATTTTCCACACTCACCGTGTTGAGACCCTTATAATCTATGCAGAGATGAAGAGACCCATCTTTTTTCTCTTTGAACAACACAGGGGCTCCCACGGTAGATTTGGCCCTTTCGATAAATTTCCTCGCTAGGTTTTTGTTCACGTATCGCTGCATCTCCTCCATTTTGAGGGGGGACATGGCATACATTCTCGGTCATGTGAGTTTGGCTCAGGGCACCAGTTTGATGGAGCAGTCATTGGGTCTGTGAGGGGGTAGGGCATCACATTCTTTTTCACTAAATGCCTCTGCCAGGTCCCAGTATTCATTGGGGATGATTGGTTCGCCTGGAGGCAGTGAGGCAGCCATGTGCGCTCGTTCATTGGGTGGCCTAAGATGCCCAGCAACATCTGTTGAATCAATGGGGGGATCAGGCCCTATAGGTAGTCTCACAGTTCTCATTCCTTTCTCCCACCAGATAAATGGCTTCCATTTGTCTAACCAGGCTAGCCCTAGGATCACCGCCTCAGTCATTTTTGGAGTCACCAGGAAGAGAATAAACTCCCAGTGTGCACCTATTTCTAGGCATAAGGGCTTGGTTAATTGTGTGACAAGAGTCCCTCCCATCAGGGAGCCATCGGCTTGCTCAAACCTCACCGGTTTGGCAAGCTGTTTTGCCCGTATGCCCATTTTCATGGCAAACGCCAGACTAATAATGCAGCGGGTGCATCTTGAATCAATTACTACGTTCAAGTCCATTTGTGCCCCAGACTTAGGGATTATAAGTTTGGCGGCCAGTGAAAAAGGCCGGATTTGTCGACTCACCATCGGGTCATTCTCTTCTTCATCGTCGCTGTCAAAGAAGGGTAGAGCAGGGGCGGGTCCACCCGGAGTCCCGATGTCCTCCTGTGTGGGTGGTGTAATCTGGGTGACAGGTTCCTGCATGAGTCGGTTGGATTTTTCTCTCATTAGCTGCTGAGCAGGTTTCTTTCGCATTGCTGGTTCTGGTCTGCTCTGCAGTCGGGGGTAGGGGACTGGACAGGTGGCCACTCGATGTCCTCCTTGTCCACACAGGAAACACTTGAAGGAAGGGCGTGTTGGTGGCCCGGGTCTCTCAGCCACTGCAGTAGTTAAAGGCTTTCGTGGGGGTGATTGCTGTCCGGGTAGCTCTGGTTGCTGCTCGGGTTCACATGGGGGAGGCTTCTTATAGCGAGAGAGCTTAACATCTAGCTTCACGGCTGTCTGGTACCACTCCTGTAGCCGATCAGGTACTTCTCGATAGATGCAGGCCTGAGAGAGGTGATCGTCTAATCCCTTGACAAAGTATTGAATCAGGGATTGTTCGGACCACCCCTCTGTTCGGCCTGCTATCTTGTGGAACTGTCGCACGTATTCCAGGGCAGGCCTCCCGGCTTGTTTTATTTTGTGAATTTGTCCTGCTGCTTTGAGGCCAATGGATGGGTCCTCAAATCGTTCTCTCAAACTTAAGAGAAAGAGGTGGGGATCTTCCAATTCGGGGGCTTGCTCGCTATATAGATTGTTAAGCCATTCAGATGCTTCTCCCTCTAGGTTGGACGCAATGACATCGACCATGGCCCCTGGTTCTGGGTAGAGATAGGCCCAGCAATTCAAGTGAGAATGCACTTGGTTGAGGAAAAAAAACAGCTTCTCTGGATCCCCATCAAAGGTTGATCTGAAAGGTGGTGCAATTACAGGCTGTTGCTGCTGGCCCCACTGTGGCCGCTGGTGCAATGGTTGCTGGGCTCCCCACTGCTCTTGTGGCTCTCCCAGTTGCTGTTGACCCCATCCTGGCTGCAGATTTATGCCCAGGGGTTGCACGTTTGGGGGCTGTGGCCAATCTCCTTGCTGTGGCTGTTCTCCCACGAGCTGCTGATCTCCTGGCTTCTGTACCACCCCAAGGCATCGCAAGGCCTCTATTAGCTGTGGCAAGTTCAGAGGACACGAATCAGCCACCTGCTGGGAAACCCAATCTCCCCATTGCTGCAGAGGATTCAGACTGGGATTCCCACTCTCTTCAGGGCTGGAGTCCCTGGTAGGGACATCTGCAATGGAAGGACTGTAGGCTTCTCTCTGTAGGAATTGATTTCTGGGTTTCATCTCTGAGTCTTGAAATCTTTCCAATGACTCACCCACAACTTTGGTATCTCTTCGTTCTGCTTCTGAAGTCTTTGCTCTCAGCTGGGAACTCTGCCAGAATCCTCTCTCCCCCGGCTTGCTGGCTGTTGCTTTCCCCCCTGGGGAAACTGTTGCAGTCAGGGGGCTGGTCTCAGGCAATCTTTCTTTCTCCATAATGAGATCTCTACCAGCTCCTCTCAAGCCTAGAGGCAGCGGATGGGGTTCGGGACCCCAGGTCGTTTGAAAAGGATTGAGATTTTAGCATGTTGTTATGGTTCCGGCTAATGAAACACTTCAAAGAACTTCCAGGCATTGATTTTCCTAAAAGTCATTTATTGTTACAAAATGTCGGCACAGGCAAAACGGAGTTTATGCTAAGATCTAAGTTCTCTTCCTCTGAGTAGTTAAATTATCAGCAAGTTCCCTCCCTAAATTAGCTGTCATATATCACATTATCCAATTAGTGTGAAGGTCAAAAGTTTCCTTCCTCTTTCTTTCTCTGGCTTTACCCCCACCCACTTCTGCTTTGTATTAACCCCCAAAATACCAGACAGTTCTGCATATGGTCAAAGCAAGAATATACAATATTTGCAGCATTGACAGAAGGACGATGGGTGGCTAAGGAGTAAGGATCCTAGTTGTTGCTCATCCCCAACCATGGGGACTGCCCTGGGGAAAATCATGGATGGAACTGAACTGAAGCCCCCAATTCCAGGGGCAGGAAAGAAGGTTGAGGGGCAGCAGGTTCAGAGAGCACCAAGGACCCCACAGTCTTCCTCCTCCTCTCCACAAATCCCACTCCCTTCTAGCACTGATGATGTTCCCTAGGTGGGTCATGAAACGTCTGCAAGAAAACCACCAAGCTCAGACAGCACCAAGGACCCCACAGTGTTCTTCCTCCTCCTCCTCCTCCTCCCACCCGACTCTCTTCTAGCACTGATGATGTTAACTAGTTGGGTCATGAAACATCTGCAAGAGAACCACCAAGCTCAGAGAGCACCAAGGACCCCCCAGTCTTCCTCCTCCTCCTCCTCCTCCTCCTCCTCCTCCTCCCACCCCATTCCCTTCTAGCACTGATGATGTTCCCTAGTTGGGTCATGAAACATCTGCAAGAGAACCACCAAGCTCAGAGAGCACCAAGGACCCCTCACTTCAATCCTGAGCTACAAAGATTCCCCTTTATTGACAAGTCAGTTGAATCGGATCTGGTCTTTCCAACCTGAAACTTACACTGATTCCCTTGGAGTTGACCAAAGACTTGTTCTCATTCTTCCTGTGTTTGGAGCAGATGTTGGCCTGCAAGGAGCTTGGTAGGGAGTTCTCTTGCCCGAAGGAGCCGCTGTCCATGATGTTGTGCCGCGGGGCTGTCTCGTCAAGCAGAGGAGACAGTGGAGGTGGGAAGAGCTTTTCTTCCCTCTTTTTGGTCATTCTTTTCATGGAGTTGCTTCTGTCAAGGAACAAAGCCAACCCTGTTTTAGCAAACTTAGACGGGCCGTCTTCAATTTACAGCCATTCATTTAGTGGCCATCTGAAGTGACAACGGCATTGAAAAAAGCGATTCCTGACTGTTTTTCACACTTAGGAACACAGCAGCGTCCCTAGGGTGGTCACGTGATCAAAATTCGACGCTGGGCACCTAACTTGTATTTATGACGGCTGCAGCGTCCTGCAGTCGCGTGATCCCCTTTTGTGGCCTTCTGACTAGCCAATGGGAAAGCCAGATTCACTTAACAACCACGTTACCAATAACAACTCCTTCCCCAGGACAAAAAAACAACAACCCTACATTTAAACCTTGGCTGTGAAGAAAAAGAAATAAAGAAAAAAAAAGGAAATAAAAGTCAAGTTGGATAGATCCAGCTGACTCTTAAACATGTTAATCCGACCGTGGATTATTTTTATTATTATTTTTTATTATCATTATTATTTTTATTATTGTTGTTGTTGTTACTGTCCTAGTCCAGTCAATGAGGATTACTTGGATTTTAATCCTTACGCAGACAACTCATATTGCATTCCTTGCCATTTACTTTTCAGGATCATCGACTCAAATTTTCAATAGCAAATTAAGTCAACAAGAATGGATGTCTCCCTCTTAGTCAATTTAAGTCAGTGTCAGGCTTTTATAGATTTACAATACCTCAAAGGAACAAATCAGAGACAAACAAGCAAAGGAAAGCAACTTGGCTCCTTGACTGGGGGAAAATTCAATCACCTCAGCTGGCTGTATTCAACAACCCTCGTCCATTTCTAATGAAAACAGCATCTATTTCAGTTATTATTTAATTGGAGTCATTACTGGAATGTTCTTATCCATTCCGGTTAATTCAGTCCTTAGAACAAAGCTCCTCAACCTCAGCAATTTTTATGGACTTCAACTCCCAGAATTCCCCAGCCAGCATGGATTCTGGGAGTTGAAGTCCATAAAAATGGACTACTGAAGTTCCTCAACCTCAGCAGCTTTCAGACGTATGGACTTCAAGTCCCAGAGTTTTCAGCCAGCATGAATTCTGGGAGTTGAAGTCCATAAAAATGGACGAGATTCCCCAACCTTACTAACTTCCATATGTGTGGACTTCGACTCCCAGAATTCCCCAGCTAGCATGGATTCTGGGAGTGAAAGTCCACCAATGAAAGTTGCTGGGGCTGAGGAACCCTGCCTTAGAATATGCACTCAAGACCACAAGATAAACAAGCCAGCAAAGAGAAGGTCGTATGAATGGTGGTATAAGCACAATTGGCCACAGACATGCAAAACTTGGATCAAAAGCAGGTCGGAGTCCTGAGATTGGGTTCTAGGCCACCATGGCCAAACAAGCCATGGTCTTCATGAGGAACCCATGACCATGAGTGCTAAGTCATTGAGAAGACTTCCGATTGATCCTTCTGTAAGTGTTGAGACCCTTATAACATGAGTAAAGCTGATGATACTCAAAAGGTAGCAAATGATTGGGTTAAATACGAACTTGGAGGATAATCAGAGCAAATCGCATCACCATCCTAGTCTCAGTTAAACATAACTAATAAGAAAATCAGGGAGAAAAATTGCTTGGCAACTGGAAACATCTGGGACCAGGGGAAATGTAGACCTAGCATTGGGGAAATAACTATTGATGAACACAATTATATTATAACACAGGATACCGATATTTGCAGGGCTCAAAGGAATCAAATTAATGACCTAGAAAACAAGCTGAAATTAAGAAAACATCAGGTTGGGGGCTAATTCTGTAGGGTTTAGTAAAAGCAGGAACTATAAGATTTTTAAAAAGATGATGCAAGCAGTTGGAGAAAGATAAACACAGGTCGCTGAAAGATTACATTCGCATCATCCTTAAATGGATCCCACTCTTAAGTTATTGGTGCCATTTTCAGACTTGAAAGATGGTGGGAAGGTGCTCAAGAATGCAAATTAAGATAAATTCATTTGCATTAAGTGGAGTTAGTAATTAGACAGGTAGAAGAGAGATTAGGAATGGGCTGGTTTTATTTCACAATGCTTTAAAAGCCATGAGTTTTAAGTTAATTGCGGGATTACTTACTCAATATAAATTTCACTACTGTGCAACAATATGACGGAGGTTTCATTTTGTTGAAAAAATATCAGTCAAAGATAAATCATTCAAATTAAAGTTTAAAGACCTGACAGAGAGAAAACCGGGGAAGGAGGGTTAAGCTAGTAGCTCCTGTAGGTTGACTATAGTAACCAGGAGTCATAACTATTTCTTTGTTGAACAAAATATGGGAAATAAAGGGATAAAATAAAACTAGGAGTGAGGTCTGTCAACTGCATGGAATTTCTGGAAGCTAAAAACCCTGGACTAATTCTGTTAGATCCATTGTTAAAAAGTAGGGGGAAAAAAACATACTCTTTTGTGCTGGTTATCCTATGGTTGGGTATCGGAGAAATGCAGGGTGGAAGCAAGCAAGAAGCCGAAGATTCTTCTAAGCGTTGTTTCTTGTTGTCGCCAAATATCTCCACATTTTCGGACTGCTTCGATCAAAACAAGAGAAACCAGAAATGTTATGCTTTTTTTCTCATCACCTTTTCAACAACGGATGAAATCAAACTGTTCTTGCAACCCAAAACGGTCGTATCCCAGCGAAATCACCTTTACTGGTGGGTCTAGCTCCCTAAATTTCTCACCAACCGGGAGAAGAATCCCTTGTGGAACGCACGCTCCCCCTTTCTTCAAGTGGTGTCCATGAGACCTTGCAAGAGGCGAATATTGACAAGGCTTCATGATATCCTCACTTCTGCTCCACTGGCTGAGCAGAGAGAAAAATGGCCATGGTTTGGCCATTGCAATCTGTGTTTGAGCTCTGTCCTGTGACAAAAGCATGGGCCGTGATTCCTCTAATGGAGAGGATTGGTCATCTAGCTGGGTTTCTCTCTAGATCTTTTTCATGGGGTACTAGATAGATAAAATGGGAGAGTTGAGAAGGTTTTGGAGTTCCATGACTAGGCTGGTTGGGTGGAACTTGGTGAACCCTAGGCAAGTTTGGAACTATCTGGGACTAAATCCAGCCCCACTGGAATAAGTGGACTATAGTATAGCTGTTCACTCTAGGAGTGGGGTCAAAAACCATCCTTTTGTTGGGGGGCAGCAGGACTAGAATCAACTGTGGAGTTGTCCCCTTTCTCTCTGCTGCTACTGGCCTCTAATTTTTTCTCTTTCTCTCTCTCCCTCCCTCTCTCTCTTTCACCATTAGAAGACCTAAAAGACCAGGTTAGGATAGATCAACATAGAGAACATCTGTCTACATGGTTGTAGAAGTCAACATTGACTTGACAGCACCCAATCAATCAATCAGTCAATCTCCTCTTTCCCTGATTTTTTTCTCTTCGCTTGCTTTCAATCACCACTTCACTCTTTGTGTCATTCTTTTTCCCTTTCCTCTGTTTTTTTTGACAGTATTTTATCTCACTTTCTCTCCCCCACCATCCTTTCATTCTCTCTCTCTCTCTCTCTCTCTCTCTCTCTCTCTCTCTCTCTCTCTCTCTCTCTCTCTCTCTCTCTCTCTCTCTCACTCTCTCTGCTCCAGATTTTTCTTGCCTAGACAGGCCCTTCCATCTCTGGATTGCCCAAATATGCATGAAATTAGAATGAGTGCCACTTGGCACTGTCAACTGTCCAGATTGATTCAGCTAATATTTTTAGCACCCCAGTTTAATTCTGTAAAACCTGTCAGGGATGATTGCTTGTGAAATGTCCTATTTCATCTTTAGCAAGGAGATGAAGGACAGTCTTTTGTCCCAATTTACTCTCTTTTCCTTCCAGGAAATGCTAAAAACAGGCCTTTTTGTGTGTGTGTGTGGGGGGGGGGGTCAGCAATGACAATTGCAGGTAGGTTAAAAAAGTAAATACAAAAATCTTGGCTACAAATATTCGGTCTGCAGATCTCTCCCCCCCCCTTTCCTCCTCTGTCCCAAAAGCACATTTCAGTTTGAAGTCATATCCCACCCTGAACAATACATCCCTGGATGTAAATAATATAAAACACACGATAAAGCTTTGCCTCTTGACTCACAAAAGACTTTGCTTTACAAGTAGGGGTTGGGGAAGGAAAAAATGCAGCAAAGAAGAAAAATAAAAAAAAAGATGCTTATTTAAGTGAATGGCGTTTTGATAAATCACAGGTGTTTATGTAACAAAATCCCCCCAATTTTTTTTTTTCAATGTGCAATAAAGACAACACTCAGCAAATGTTACAGAAAGCTTGCCTGCTTTTGACTTTGATGGATGGATGCCTTTTTAAAATGGAGAGGAATTTGTCCTAATGCTCTAAACAGTAAAAACCAAAGAAAACAAAACAAAACTGACAAAGATGTAGCATTAGATTAAACTCAGGAGAAGCGTTTGATTACTCAAGTCTTTTTTCTCTCTTGTGCAATATCCCAAATTCTATTCTAATAAGGGCTGTGCCAAAAGTGTATTCTGCTTTTAAAAAATTATGCTTATTCCAGGTGATGGGAAAAAAGTAGCTTTAGCTGTTTCTTCCCCCAACATTTGAAAGCAATTCTGGTTGAAAGGATGCAAATAAATAACCCAAGTTTCTTTATGTTATCCTTACTCCGTTTATTGCCTGATCTGGCTTTCTAAACCCCCATTAATCCACAATCATGGCTAAAGGAGTTCATGGGGGGGGGGGTTTAAGGACATTAACATAGTAAGTGTGACTGTGTGATCAAAGCTACTCTCGTTTTAATGCATGTATAATGTACATTAAGAAGGGGTGGAGCTTTGATTATTGGTTGCATCTGCCATTTTGACATGGTGGACAACCTCTGTGGATGATCCTTCTTGACTCATTTCACATGTCGGCTTTAGAGCAGAAGAAGGCATTTCAAAGAACACCCAACTATGCTGTTGATATCTGTGGATAAATCCACCAATTTGGGGCACCATCAAGTTCCCACCCAGGATTTTTGACCAAAGAATAACAGAGTTGGAAGGGACTTTGGAGGTCTTCTAGCCCAATCCCATGCTCAAACAGAAGACCTTACACCGTTTCAATCAATCAATCAAAATCAATATATCAATCAATCAATCAGTATAGAGTTGGAAAAGACCTTAGAGGTCTTCTAGTCCAACCTTCAAGCAGGAAACCCTACACCATTTTAGACAGATGGTTGCCTAATCTCTTCTTAAAATCTCCAGTGTTGGAGTGCCAATAATTTCTGGAGGCAAAAGGTAGACAGTCTCAGAAAGCTTGATGTTTTATTCTTATTTTGAGTGGCCCCTATCTTCATGAAAGTGAATAAAGGAATGCTGAGCATAAGGAACTTACTTTGTGCTTCCTTTTGGTTTTAGCGGACGGTTTTTCAGCCGGGGGCAAAGGAGAGTCGGGCGCCTGTCGCCGATGCTTGAGGTTGACCTCTCGAGCTTCCACCTTCCCAGAGATGTTCTCAAAGTCCAGCTCTTGCCCAGGGACCCGAGAGAGGAAACTCAGATCTATTTTCACCCAAAGGTACTTGAGCTCTTCGAATTCCTTCAAGGGCGACAAGGGTTCATTCTGAACCATGGGAAGAGGTGAAAAAAGCTGTTCCTCCAAGTCCGCCCCATTCTGGTCCACCGAAGTGTTGCTGTTGTTGCTCATCAAGCTGCTGACACTCAGGATATTGCTGCTGGAGTCCTTGGCTTTGATCCCGCTGTCCGAGCCGCTCCCTCCCTGCAAGCTCTTGGCTTGCAGGCTCTCCTCGTGGTCGGTGTTCGAATCCGAGGTGGATGAATCCGTTTCCACAAACTCCCGCGACTTGGGAAAGATTTTGCTAGGGCCTCGGTACTTTTTCTTCTCCAAAGGCAGGCCTGCGGTGGCCCTGGGCTCCTTCCTCGGAGCGGTCTTCCCAGCAGCCATCTTTGCCCTCAGTTTGGCCTGCTCTGGGCTCTCTTGCACCTCCTTTTCTTTGGGGGTGCTGCTGGTCATATTTGGTTTGGGCCAGTTGTAATCTTCTGCACTGGAAGTTCTTTCGACTTTTTTGGGTTGCTTCTTCCCAGTCGTCCTTTGGGGGACCGGCTCGTTGTGAACGGGGGATTTCTGCTTGGAATTTTTCACATCGGCTGGGGTTTTCTGGGCCACCCGGGGTTTGGCTTTCTCTCGGGCGGGGCTGCGCAGGGTCCTGTCTTTGGAATCGGTCAGGGACAAGCTGTTGTTCACCTTCCCTTTGTTTTGTCCTTCCACCTGGGCACTGCTCTGGGATGCAGCGCTGTTCTCCCCCTGACTGTCCTGTTGGTTGTTGATGATCGTCTTGTTGTGAGGGTTGACTTTGTTTAACCACTTGTCCAGCTGCCATTTGTTAGCTGAGGGGGGTTCAGGCTGAGGAGGACACATTGCAAATAGTGACAACAAACTTGATCATCATTTGTAGCCCAGCCTTCTTTTCCAAAGCAGCCACGACACACAGGCTTACAGATATGTGGACTTCAACTCCCAGAATTCTCATCATGTTGGCTGTGGAATCCTGGGATTTGAAGTCCACATGCCAGTTGCCAAGACTGGGAAAGACGGCGTATAGAAAAAACTAAAAACTAAAGCAATTTAACAATTATTTCCTGGGAGAGCATTGGAAATCATTCTTCTTTTAAAGTAGGCTAAATATGCATTTGCTAAATATGTATCTGTATTTTTGTAGTAATGACCCCTTTATTTTCAGCATACAATCAATTACAATTTCAGAATATTTCCAAGCAATAGTATCTCAACCTTTCCTAAGTGAGGAACTGCGCATCTCATTTAAGGTGTAAGGCCAATTAACAGAATAACAGAGTTGGATGGGACCTTGGAGATCTTCTAGTCCAACCCCCTGCTCAGGCAGGAAGCCCTATGCCATTTCAGACAAATGGTTGCACAATCTCTCCTTAACCCCCCCCCCCTTCTTAAAACCTCTCTTCTTAAAAATTAGGACGCCATCTTTTAAATTAAAATATTTGGGCATTCTTTATTTTCCAAGGAGAAGGGTGTAGATCATGTGAATGTGGCCACAGGAATCCTGCAAATGCTACTACAAAACTGGAATGTTTCATGTGGAAAAAAGAGGAAAATTATTTAATACATGAGTAGCCGTATTTATTTTTATGATTAGGTTGGCTTCATTTTGCTACACTTAAAGTTAGGCTCAGTTCATACACATGTTGGAGGGCAACCTGTCAAAAAGCTGGATGGATATCTCAGCTTCGCCCCAAATCTACATATGTGTAGTTAAACAAAAAAGTGTGTGTGTGTGTGTGTGTGTGTGTGCGTGTGTGTGTGTGTGTGTGTGTGTAGAACCACCCCAAGCTATTCAGGAAACGGATTTGGCAAGCGACTTTAAACAGATTCCACTTTTGCTCGAAAAGCTTGGACATTTTTCATTTAAGAAGAGCTGGAATTTCCCCTTGCAAACCCAATTGTTACACAAACAGATGAATTCTGGAGATGGACATTGTGGTATTTTACCTCCGGAGTGCCGCTGCGTGATTCTTCATTGCATTCGCTGTCGCTGGAGCTGGTTTCACTGTCTGAATCAGATTCAGAACTACTTTCAGATTCACTGGAGCTTCCGGACCCTCCACTGGAATGTATGAGGACAGTGTTGTGTGCTGTTGGCAGTGGAAGGCCACTACAAAGAAAGGGGGGGGGAACGTATTTAAGCATTTATAAAGATTATTCGGGGACTCATCTCCCCTTCTCATATGATATAGAATTATAGATTCTGCCAGTTCAACTCCCCGTCCAGTGTAGGATTCACTATAACATCCTAATAGATGATTCTCTGGTTTACATTTCAACATCTCCATGCTGTAAGCTACTCCATGATAATCAACTCTTTCTATTAAGCAGCTCTTCCTTAATGTTTAATCTGTACCTACATCCTTGAGATTTTATTCCACTAGTTCTAGTCTTCTCATCTGGAAGAGAGGTGAGAGCAAGTTCTGTAGGAGATGACTATCCTTCAGATCTTTCAAGATGATTATTATGTCCCCTCTCAACACTCTTCTGCAAGCTAAACATATCTAGGTCACTGTATCATTCCCATGGTAGATTGGTAGCCCTTTCTGAACTTGCCCCATATAACAAATCACAGTTCAGAAGCCTTAATTATTGATTTATCTGTTGCAGCTGAGACAGAATAACAGAGTTGGAAGAGGTCTTCTAGTCCAAGATGTATAACTTCAGACTTACTTAAGTTACGATGTTCATGCCTATAGGACATCATCATAACTCTCAAACTGTCAAATTCAAAGAGACAGCTTTGGGAGTGGGCAATACCCAAAGATTAATGGGGTCCTACTTCATAAAATATCTTCTATCCCTCCCCATGGGATCTTCTTCTCCAATGAAAGAGCCACGGGAAAACCATAGGAACTAAACCCTCACTTGATTTGTTCTATAATTTTGGCATTTCACCACGACTTAAAAAGTTCTATCGAGAAAATCAAAAGGGGGCATGTGTCTCCCCCCTTAATTCGGACTTGGTTCTTCCCTTCAATTTCTGAAGTGGTTTTGTAGTTTTTTGAACTAAGCAGGACATAAAGACAAATTTATAGTCAGTTGTAAATTTATTATCATGAGTCAAACTGTGCTGGGGTATAGCTTGCTAAAACAAATAAGCATTCTTTAAATAATTTACCACCAGCGATGTGCCTATCCTCCCCCCCCTACTTTTATTTCATTGAGGGGGTTTTTTTTGTTAACACATTTCTAATTTATGCCCAAACGAAGGTCATTAGGCAGCTCTAATATTTGGATGTAAACATTTTAAAAATTAATTTTAATGAATGCTATGGGTTATTCTCTTCCCAGCCTTTTCCCTAAGATATACCATAAGTGCAGAGATATAGGCATATTACGATTCTCCAGAGATGCCCTAGGGATCCTTTATCTGAAGCTAGTTTTTCACTCATGCTTTTGCCAACAAAAATAAAATTCACACAAGAAAAAACAAACAAACTATATCGCTGGTCTGAAATCCCCCTTGTTTATCCATTCTTCACCCCACTGTAAGCTATTGCTTAAAGGAAAATACTTAATATTTGGATTTATTTAGCAATAAACAGAGCTTCTCGTGCTGGTCTCATCTGATTTCTGGGCAGAATTCTGCGACACCAATCAACCAGATAAATAAAAGTTTAGACTCAGGATAACTAAGAGGTCCCATCTACTTGTACGTCCCATCCTTGCTCGTTCAGATCAGAGACCAGCATTTTCAAAATAAAATATTTATATTTTTACAAGGCTCTAGTGAGACAATACTGGACAAAGGCAGGCACAACTGCCACAAGATTTACTGGAAAAAAAGACAGCAAAGAAAAATGCGAGACCAAAAGAACTGAATTAGAACCAGTATGCTTGAATGTCATTCCTGGCAGAACCCAATACAGGCTCTATTCACTTTAACTGCAAGGACTTTTTTTTTTTTAAATATATAATTCAAACAACATTGAACCATTTGCTTCTGGCTTGGCTCAGAGGAATGCATGTTTTTTTTTTTTTCCTGTACAAAATATGAAGAGGTTTAGATCTGATTTTCATCTTGGATTGCAAAACTGTGACTTTTGCCACAATTTCCAATCCCACCCCCCCCCCAGCCATTGCTACCAAATTGGAACATTTGCAACAGAAATATTGCCTTTAATCATTTGGCCTCAATGCATTGGCCCTGGTATATAATCACTTGCAAATGAGATATGCTGTCCTTTTCAGCATGCACGGATACATAAGGGGAAAATTGACTCAGGAAAAAAAGAAGCAAAGTTAATCCAAAACTTTTCTTTAGGCTATTTTAGCCACATCTATGAAAATTTTCCACAAAGGTCAAGGACGTTGGCTGATAGAAAACTTGCTGTTTTTCACATGTATGGGACCCAGGTGGGGGATTTTAACAAAGAAGCAGAGGCTAAGTTAGAAAAACCAAGATTCAACCCCTAATGTCTTCATTTATTGGATCTAAGCGAAGGAAACCTGGAAGGAACTTCCTCAAGGCCTTTGGGAATGACTATACTTAGACTGGATAATATTGATGCAGGATTAGATGTTTCCATTATCTAGCAGTGTAAAGCAGCTTTACTTGATCTTTTATGGCTAGGCTGGGTAATCCGAAGCTCCGGAGACAACTTCAGAACACAAACACTATTTTCTGCAGCTCCCAAAGCTCCTTCTGAACACACAGACTGAAAATGGAAGGGCTGGTTTTCCAAGATGTTGAGTGATGAAATGCCCTTGAAGATCAGAAGGAGGGGGAAAAAAAACCAACACCATTTGATCAAACCCACAAACCAAGCAGATGGCCCACTAGATGCATGGATTTTTATTAGGAGACTCTGACAGCTTGCATGACCACTGATCAAATACATGTTTAAGGGTCACCTAACTGTGTTGTGTGCTCTAAAGAGTGTCTGTGTATTACAAAAAAAAAAAAAAAAGGTCAACTCTTTTTCTGCTGCTGCAACTTTGAGAAGAAAGGGGTTGAGATCAGTCAAGGAAGCAACTTGTAATAATATAGCTACTTTTCAAGGAGGATTTGAGGAATTCTAGAAAGATTTGGTGTCCTCCATATCTCCTTCTAGATCAGCTTTTACCAATGTGGTTTCCTTCAGAGATTTATACTGCTAACTGTTCCTTATCACTGGGTATGCTGATGGGACATGCAATCCAGAACATTTAGAGGGCAACAAATGCTTAAAAAAAAATCTATTTGATTTTCCTACAGAAAAAAGAAGAAGAGAGACACCGCGCAGGCTATCTCTAGCAGCAAAAACATGACATTCCAATAAGAAGTCAATTTAATTCGTAACAGCAAAACATGTAATGCAAAGTGACACGGCCAATTGTAACACCAGTCAAGAAAAAGAGAAAGAAAAAAGCTTGTAAGGAAGAGATAAAACTCAATTTCCAAACACTGAAAGGTTTATTATTTGGTGCTTTTAAGATCTAATGATAGCACTAAACTCTAGAAGTAAATGTAGATAGCAAGAGGCATTCTTGCTAATTTAGCCATCTTTCTGAGATAGTATCAGCCTGAGAGACAGAAAGGAACCGTAAAACATATTTCCCAATTCGTCTTGGCCTTTTACAACCATGAATGTTATCTTTCCAATTTCACTGAACATATGAGATGGGAAGGCATACGGCTTGTATATTAGTCCATAAATGTCTATTGGGATTCTCAGTCATCCAGATTTTGGTTGACCCAAACTGGACTTTCTTGTTTTTCTTTGAAGATGTTTCGCTTCTCATCCAAGAGGCTTCTTCAGCTCTGACTGGATGGTGGGGGTCAACTGATTTTCAAAGCATCAGAGGGCAACAGATGGAAACTAATCAAGGAGAGAAGTAACCTAGAATTAAGAAGAAACTTCCTAACAGTGAGGACAATTAACCAGTGGAACAGAAGTTGCCTTCAGAAGTTGTGGGTGCTTCATCATTGTAAGTTTTTAAGAAGAAACTGGACGGCCACTTGTCTGAGATGGTATAGAGTCTCGTGCTTGAGCAGGAGGTTGGACTAGAAGACCTCCCAGATCCCTTCCAGCTCTATTCTGATTGAAGTAGTTGTTGCTGGTGGTCATGGTTACCTAACTGAACAGAATTTGACAGGAGATATCATTGTGGAACTCCAGTAAGTCAAGAGTTGAGGGATTGACTTAATTTCTGGATCAGAGTCACAAAGTGGCAAGACAGGAAATTTCAACTCTTTGCGCAGCAAATTGCATATCTACTTATACATCAGATAACCAAATTGCATATCTACTTATACATCAGATGACCAAGGTGTGGCCTCCAAGAAGCCAAATCTTGCAATTTTACACCATTACTCATTGTTGGCCCTGGGTTTAGGTCTTTTATGCAAAATGAAGGGCACATGATGTCACAGGTATGATGATACCATGGTACATAAGACATTAATCATGGAGATCATGGGTGTCAAACTGCCGGCCCGCGGGCTGGTTGGATTGTGCAGAGGCTGCACTAATCCCAGCTCCAGCAATGCAAAAAAAGTTGTGATACATCATGTGACGTGGCGAGTTTCACACCCGTGATGTAGATTATATAATTCATGTCAATTGTACCACGAAGCAGAAAACATCATGTGGGCTTTTGGCGTCTGAATTTAGGGTCTGCACTGAATTATCCAGCCTCTTTGATACGAACTGTGTCTTGTAGCTGACTGTAGTCAACATTTCACAAATACTGCACAAAGAACTTTTTTTTTAAAAGGAAATAAATTTGAGGAAATAAGTGATCTTCTGATGTGTCTAGCTTTTATGTTGTCTCTGTGGACTTCCTTAAGTTAGAGATTCATTTTCCAAGATCATCTTAAATGATTACCGGAGCCATAGCTTATTTTTTCTGCACCATAAATGACCAACAAATGGATAATTTACGCATTTCTTCTTTCTCCCAGTTCACTGCTGAGATGGTTATTGCATTATTTTCATCACATCATTTACTCTTAATATTTTAATAAACTGCTTTAAAGATGAAATGGAGTTGTTACAGATATCATGTGCAGGACTGACAATTATTAATCTCCAGAACGAGCGGATTCCTCTCCTTGAACTGTAAATACGTTCAGTAATCAAAATGTCACTGGCACTATCCACCTGAGAAAGGGCATTTCATAGC